TCAAATAAATAAAATCTTTTTCTAAAAAAGGAAATAAGGGGGCGCCTGGGTGGCTCAGTCGTTAAGCATCTGCCTTCGGCTCAGGTCATGATCTCAGGGTCCTGGAATCGAGCCCTGCATCAGGCTCCCTGCTCAGTGGGAAGCCTGCTTCTCCCTCTCCCACTCCCCCTGCTTGTGTTCCCTCTCTCGCAGTCTCTCTCTGTCAGATGAATAAACAAAATCTTTTAAAAAATTTTAAAAAAAAAGGAAATAGGATTGTTATGCAAGACAAATACACAGAGGCGATACCCCACCTCTTCTCCACAACTCAGATACCCAACATAATTGCGATTATATATGTAAAGTACCAAGCACATTGCCCAGCACAGAGTAGGAGCTCCAAAAGTGGTACCTAGTATTGTGGTCTGGTTCCCACCTACTTCTCAGTCTCATCCCGACCCCTTTCTGTCTTGAACTTTGGCAACATCGAACTGCTTATGGTCTTGTCTCCTATTTCCCATTCCACTCCCAAGTGTACATTTTCTCACCTCCTGATCATTGTTGCACAAACCAGCTAGTTCTTCCTCCTGGGAGTATAGATAGACAATATTTCCCAGCCTCCCCTGCAGTTAGATGTGGCCACTTGAACAAGCTCTAGCCAACGGAACATGAACAAGAGCAATGTATGCCATTTCCGGGCCCGTTCCTTCAAACCTCCCACATGCTCTTCATGCTCTTTCCTCTTCCAAGGAGAGCGGCAAACTTGAAAGCCCCATGTTGAAGATGGCAGAGCCACAGGTAGAAAGCACCAATGTCCCTAAGTTAAAACATGAAGGAGAATCATCCAACTGATTTGGATGTTCCATTGATTAGTGAGATGTCAACTTCCATCATGCTTAAGCCATTATATAATTTTGGTTTGATGCGGTAGCTAGGCTTACCTAAATTAGTACCTCCCGCTGTCTCATGTCCCTGGAATGCCTGTAACTGCACCCTGCTTCACTGCAGAAACTCCTGCTTAGCCTTTAAACTTCATCTCTGGCATCACATGCTACGGAAAGCCTTCCCTGAGCAACCCCCCAACTCCTAGACTCGGGGTGAGGTACCTCTAGCAGACACTGAACAGTTGACTACCCTTTGTTCATTCTCCCTTGCTTCCTACTAGAATCTCAATTTTATTCAGGGCAGTAACATACCCAGTTAAAAATACCCATTTGTCAAGACTCCCTTGGAGCCTGCGAGTCATGTGATCCAGTCCTGGCCAATAAAATGTAAGAGGAAGTTGCTGGATAGGGATCCTTAGGGAAGTTTTTTTTTTTTTTTTTTTAATGCAGGCTCCACACGCAGCGTGGAGCCCAATGCAGGGCTTGAACTCACAACCCTGAGACTGAGATCAGAGCCAGGATCAAGAGTCAGACACTTAGCCAACTGAGCCACCCAAGTGCCCCTTTAGGGGAGCTTTTTAAAAAGGGAATAGATTGGGCTCATATCTGCCCTTTACCTTTTTCCTTCGCGCTCCCTGCCTTCCCACCTAGAACTCAGATGCAATGCCCGGGAATGGAGCATACATTTTACAACCATAAAGAAGACAGCCATGCCCTAAGGCAGAGCAGAAAGGAGATTCCAGGTTCCTCAGGGAACCATGAAGCCATCGTACCAGCCCTGTGCTGCCTCCAGCTGGTTCTCCTATAATGTGGAAATAGAAACTCCTAACGCTTAAACCCTGGAGCAAGGGGTCTATTTAGCACAACTGAAAGCAATCTTAACTGAAAGCTCTGAGCTCCTGAGCACCCTACGCTCCCCTCACTGCTTGGAAGGAAACACGGTCACACTCTGGAATCATCTGCTTAAGAGTCGGTTTCCCCGACTTGTTTGAAGGCATGGGGCAAGCACTGTGTGCTGAGCGGATGGGGACGGGGGATGCTGTTGTGTCTTCCTCAGCCTCGGTCCGACATACAGAGAGGGCCTGCGGCTGTGACCTTCTTGCCCCCTCTCTCCTCCATCAGCCGAGCATCGGCTCTATGACCTCTGAGGTAACTTCAAGCTCTCAAATTCTCAGATTCCATCCCACATCCAGTACACTCCCCACACCGAGGAGGCTACCAACGCATAAGACGCAGGCCGGGCCCTCCGTCCGAGAAGTCCAGGAGTGCGTTAGGAGAACGACTACAACTTACACAGCATTTCGTTTCTTTTTACGGGAGGCGAAAGTCATATAAAATGGGCCATTTCAAAGCGAAGAATTCAGTGGCATTTATACCTCCACAATGGTATGCAATCACCCCTTCTATGTAACTCTCAAACCTTCCCATCACCCCAAAATAAAACCTTGCACCCATCAGCAGCCACTTCCCATCCTCCCCTCCCCCCAGCTCCTGCCAACCACCAATCAGCGTGCTGTCCCTATGGTTTCCCTATCCTGGGTATCTCATAAGATGGAGTCGCACAACAGGCCAGCAAGGGCAGGTGGGGCCTCAGCGTTCACACAGTAGGATGACATTTAGCTTTTCTTCGCTCTGACCAAGGTCTATTCCCACTGCAGCTTGAGTGGCTGAGGTTAAATGTCTTTGCGATCCAGCTCCTGGGAAATCTTTAAAATTAGGTGTGGGATGAGCCTCAGTAAATTAGATAAAGAACTTCTATGAAGTGGAGGGTAAACTGAGGGTGAACTGGGTGGTCTGAGTGAACTGGGCTGCTGTCTAGCAGCACTTTTGTGAGAAGACACAGCTAGTTTTGGTATGTGGCAGCGGTGGGGTACGTGCGTGAGTGCGTGTATAAACAAACATCCTGGAGCACATGCAAATTTCCTTTCGTGTACAAATAATCTTTACAGATCACAAAGCTCTTTGATATCCTTTCTCTGCAGCTCTCAAAAGGAGGCAGGGCAAGCACTCTCCAGCCCGATTTATAAATGGGGCAACCCCCATTAGATGACTTGCCCAGAGTTGCACAAAGAACTAGTGACAGAGCCCCAAGCCTGCATGCTTTCCTTTTGGAATGGCACTCTTCCCCTTCTTTGATGTGTTTTGAGAACCTTAAAATACCTTTAAGAACCTGCTCAGTCATCTCTCAGGTGGAGTGAGGAGAAAATGTGTTTGCAGGCTATATTTGTCAAAAACAAAATACCATAGGCTGAGTGGCTTAAACAGCATCCATTTATTTCTCACTGTTCTGGAGGCTGGAAATCCAAAATCAAGGTGCCAGAAGATTTGGTTCCTGGTGAGAACTCTCTTCCTGGCTTGCATATGGCCATCTTGCTGTGTCCTTACCTGGTGGAGAGAGCTAGAGAGAGCTCGAGAGAGCCAGCTTTCAGGTGTCTTTTCTTGTAAGGGCTCTAATCTCACCATGAGGACCCCACTCTCCTAGCCTCCCTGAACCTTAACTACCTCTGAAAGATCTCATCTCCAAATACCATCAAACTGGAGGTTAGTGCTTCCACATATTAATTTGAGGGGGTGGGGACAAAAACACTCAGTCTACAATACAGGTGGAAACCCGTCTCTTCCTCATCGTCAGTAGGGACCATATGCTGCAAGCCAGCAAGACACTGGAATGTGCTTGTCAAAAAAGACAATTTAACCTAACTCTAGGATGGGGGTGGGCAGCAGGGCAAGAGGACGAAATTCAGGGATTTTTAAGAAGAGAGTAAGTTTGCAAGATTTAGCAAACAAAAATATCAAACATCTACTTAATTTTGAATTTCAAGTAAATGATAATTTTTAAGTGCAAGTGTGTTTCTAGTTTGGGATATTTATATCTACATGGATATCTGTATCTATATTCATTTTTTATCTCAAATTCAAATTAACTTGGTGTTCTGTATTTTTATCTGGCAACCCTAAAAGACAGGGGCCAAGAACTTTGAGACAAAGAAATGGATTTCAGGAGGGACTGCTGCAGGATCTCTGGACTGATGCTTCCTTTATATGTTTAAATTTTTGTTTAGTCTTTTAAAAATACCACCTGGCTTTATTTCTTATTGTTGTAACCCGCGCATAACATAAATGGACCATCTTAACTATTTTTAAGTGTATGGGTTCAGTGGCATTAAGTATATTCACATTGCTGTACAACCATCACCACTACCAATCTCCAGAACTTTCTCATCATCCCAAACTGACGTGTCAAAGGAAACCAGAGCTGCACAGTAGCAGTAGAAAGAGATTTTATTCAGGACTTCGCAACAGAGGGAGAGACCTCGGTACAGAAGCAGGGTCACTTGCAAACACAGCAGGGACGAGTGGGGATTTATAGCCAAGGAGCAGGCTGGGGCGGGGGTGGGGGCGGTGGATGGAAAATCACTAGGAGGGTAGGTAATTCTTTGCTCAGCTGACCAACAGGATTCTTGCTGAGGGCCGCCAGGGCGAAGGGCTAGCAGCGGGGGGATCGTGGGGGATGAGGCACGTGGTCAGAAATGGAGGGTGATCTGACGTAGAGGCTAGGGGATTCAGCTAGAGCGACTTCGCAGGGTTCTCGCTACAGCCTGGCGATGCAGGTCGAAGCCTGTTTGGGCAGAAGATTCAGAGGGGCCTGAGACCAATGCGGTCAGAGAAACCGCAGAGAGAAACAGAAAGTCTGTACGCACGAAACCATCACCCCACCCGCCGCACGCCCACCACTCCACCCTCCGGCCGGGCGTCTGCCCCAGAGGCCAAGCCCCGGCAGCAGAGCGCGCGCGGGCGGAGGGCGGGCGGTTCCGGGACTCGGCCGGGGTCGGGCGCCGGGGCGGCGCTGAGGGGCGGACGGGCGGAGGGGGCGGGCAGCCCGGGGCCGGGCCCGAGCGGAAAGCGGCGAGGAGACGGGGCGCGGGGCAGGGCGAGGGCTCGCGGCGGCCCGGCACCCCGCAATACGCGCGAGGGGTGCGGCGGGGGGCGGTTCCGCGCCGGGGCCCGCCACTGGCTGCCCAGAGCTCCGCCAGCCGGCCGAGCTCCCGGAGAGGCGGAGCGGCGGCGGCGCCAGGACCCGGCGGAGCGGGCGCAGCGGAAGCTCGGCGGCCGGAGCGGCTGGCGGCGGGCTTGCGGGCGGCGCGCAGGTGAGGAGCGGGCGGGGGGGAGGGCGCGGGGCCCCCGGGACGGTGCGGGGACGTGGGGGGGCGGGACGTGGAGAGGCGGGGAGGGAGGGGCTCCGGGAGGCCGGGCCTGGCGATGGGAGCCGGACGGCGAGGCCCGGGGGCCGCCGCGCCCTTGCCTCCGCGGGAGGCCCGGCGCCGAGCCCAGCGGCGGCGGCCGTCCGCACAGGCCTGCGCCCGGGCTTCCATCCCACCCCGCCGCCCAGCGCGCCGCCCGTCCGGAAGCGGCGCCGGGCCTCTGCCCCCAGTCTGACGGTCCCCGCCCCGGGAGCCGTTCTGCCCCGCGGCGTGAGGCCGAGGCCGGGGCGCCGGGAGGACCCTGCCGGCCCGCGGGACTCGGGGCCCCGGGCTCCAGCCCTCCCTTCCTTTCGCGGCCCGTCGGGTCCCGTGACCCTCACGTGCCTTTGCACCGTCTCTGGGCCCTGCGAGCGGGCTCAGCTGAATCCTCGGACCCCTTCCCTCCCCGGCCCCTCTTGGTTGACCTCTCGCTCACGGCTTTCACCGCGCTTGCTTCCTGACTGCCCACGCCGTCGCTGTTAACCTGGGCTGAGGACCCTGGGAGCTGGGTGGCCAGGGATGGTTTGCCGGAAGGATTCCGTGCACTTCCGAGATTATAAACAGCCCTGGCGGGCGGGTATGGTGTCTGTTCATTTTCTGGATAGGTCCATGGTTTTTACTAGATTCTGTAAGGTGGTGGCATCAAATAGAAATATGATGTGGGCCCCACATTTACAAGTAAAAAGAAACAGGTGAAATAGATTTAGTAATAGATTTTCTTTAACCCTGTGTATCTAAAATATGGTAATTTCAGCCTGTAATCAATATAAAAATTTTAACGGGATATTCTACGTTTTTTTCCCTACTAAGTCTTTGAAATGAGGGTGTACATTTTGCACTTACACTGCACCTCCACTCGGGCAGGCCACATGCAGCTAGAGGCTACCATACTGGACAGATGGGGCCTAAGGGCCTCAGAGCAAACTTCTTAAGGCGGTTCACAGTGTTTATCACGATTTGGCTGCTTTATTTTTTCTTGCTAATGGCCCAAGGATAGTTATACCCTTATCACTCAAGACCACTTGCCGTTCCCTACACACCTTTTTGTTCAAGGCCTTCTACCTGGAATGCTCTCCCCAGGCCTCGTAGGGAGATGCCGTGTCTGCTGAGAGCCTTTTGCTGACTCCCTTAACCTCTGGAGGGATGGATCACTCCTTCCTCGGTGCTTCTTCCCTAGCACTGTATTGTGGCTGAATTAGAGCACTTATCATGTCGTGTTGTTTTTGAGGCAGTTTCTATGTAGAGCATAGTGTCCTATTCATCTTTGTTGTGATCCTGGCTGGCGTCTAACAGTTGATCCGTAGATGTTTGGAGACAGAAGGAGTAAACCGGGGGCGCCTGGGTGGCTCAGTCGTTAAGCGTCTCCTTCGGCTCAGGTCATGATCCCAGGGTGCTGGGATCGAGCCCCGCATCAGACTCCCTGCTCCGCGGGGAGCCTGCTTCTCCCTCTCCCACTCTCCCTGCTTGTGTTCCCTCTCTTGCTGTGTCTTCCTCTGTCAAATAAATAAATAAAATCTTTAAAAAAAATTTTTTAAAAAAAGGAGTAAACCACTAACCAGCTGTACTCAGTCTCTTAATTCTTGAATGGACCTGCTACTTCCTTGTTGAGATTTGTTCCTGTACGACCCCCTTCTGTGCACATACACAAACAGTTGGGGTAACTTACAAGGAATACATCTCAAGGTGTGCACAGAGAGTATCTTCTACCCTTTATCCTCTCCTGAGCTTACAGATGGGAAAACCGAGGTACAGAATTAAGTTAGAGAGGCCAGCAAGTTTGCATCAATATGAATATAAATGGGGGGGCTTCTTGAAAGGAGTGCGGTGGTCTCAGAGGGTTGGGTTCCTGAGTTAGGTGTCAGCTGGCCCCACTTTGGCCATTTGATAGGAGGGAAGAGAAGTGGGGAGGTAACTCCCCGGCCCTCATGAGGATTCTAGGCAGCTTCGGGTCTGGGAAGCTGAGGATGTCACTGCCCGAGAAGAAGTGGAAGAGCAGACTGGTCATTTCAGATCTTGAGGAGTCCCGGTGTCGGCCGGCCGGGTAGGAGGGAACAGGCGGGGGGAGAAGGAAGGGCTGGGGAAGCCAGCAGAGGGAGCAAAGGAGTAAGTTCCGGCTTGGAGAAGATGGTGTGCTGCGTTGGGAATAACCACATCTTGGCGGTGTCATTCTCAGTCTGCAGAATGGGAAATGGGAAGAATCAGAGATTCAGAAAAGGCAGGGACTTACCCAGAGTCACACTGTTCTTTAAGCCCACGTGAAGCCTCCTCAGCCCCCCCTGCCTCACTTACCCTGCCCCACCTCCACCTCTGTTGCACTCAGGGGCCCCAACATGGTGCCGAAGAGAACAGGTATGTAGCGCAGTGCCAGGTCTGATTAATGTCTTCCTCACTGTCTTCTACTGAGGGGCTGTGATTAGGCCTATTTATAGGGGCCCGGTGCCTTAATATGCTGCCTGGTACATCTCTTGCCAATCAAATCAGTGCCGTCTGCAGCGTGATTGCTGCTTTAGTGGCACCAGGGAGCGGAGTTAATTAAACCCAGTATAAATAGACTCTGCCCTCGTCTTGCAATTGGAAGGAGTGTTTTTCCTTCTTGTCCCCCACCTCCACACGCCCCTCCTTCCTCCTGGCCCCCCTTAGCCATAGCCTGGGAGAGCAGAGCCCAGACACTGGCATATGCCGGGTCACCAGCCACTACCTCTCCTGTCTCAGGAATAGGTCCTGAGTTCCTTGCGGTCAAAGTGAGAAGAACCCAGGAGCCCGCATTTCCTGTGCTTTTCTAGACCTGGGTATCATTTGGCAGTTGACACAGGCATTTCCCGCCCCCCCCCCCCGCCCCCCAAATCCATCTCTCTGCTTCCAGCCTCTTTTTAACTCTGCGGCCAGGGTTTCTTTCTTGTTCAACCAGGCTTGGGAGGTTGAAAGGAGATCATGTATGGAAAGGGTACCTAGGAGAGCAGCAAGCACCTTCTCTGACCGCTTCGCTTCAGTCTCTGTTGTTGCTACCACTTTCCCTCCCTCATTTACTCCACGAGCATCAACAGAGTACCAGCTCCTGGGAGCTCCTGGCTTCCCACCCACTGCTTTGGCCTCCACTCCCCGCCTCCACCGGCGGGGCCTGTGGCAGACAGTTGGGGTGGGGGGCAGGGCTCTCTTCTCCCGGCACCTGGCCCCTCATGCTCTGGTTCCCACCCACAGGCACTATGACTCCCACGAGGACCCAGCACTCATTGGCGGGGCAGACTTATGCAGTGCCCCTCATCCAGCCAGACCTACGGCGGGAGGAGGCCATCCAGCAGGTGGCGGATGCCCTGCAGTACCTACAGAAGGTCTCTGGAGACATCTTTAGCAGGTGGGTGCTGCCGCCCACCCGCACCTGATTAGGGGGCTGGGCAGTCAGCGTGCACCCTGCGGCCCTTTTGCTGATCTTGGTGATTCGGCTGGCTTCCCTGTGCCCAGGGGGCCCAAGGTAGGAGCCCATCTTGGAAGCTCTTTCTCGTAAGTGCTCATAGGAGCTCACTGCTTACTGTCCCACTTAGTCCCCCCGGTTCCCTGTGGATCCGCAGGCCCCAGAGGTAGTGCTCCTCTCCCAATTCCTGCCCTTCTCCCACGGGGTTGCGGGGGGGTTGCCTATGTCCTCACTCATTCCTGCATATCAGTCGTATCCTGAATATTTATTCAACACTTGTGTGCAAGGCATCATGCTGCTGTCTTTAGTTACAGCAAGGAGTAAGGCCGTGTCCCTGTCCTAACTGGAGAGTATACAGGTTTCCCCCACAATCAGAAAGTTCACGTTCTGCCACTTTTCTTTGATGAAAGACCAGACATTTGTACCTGGGTTCACTAACTGGAAGAAATCCGAAGCGGATTCTCACTTTTATGAACTGATCATTGCTTCTTCACTTCACGTCATTTTAGCTTACGGGAGGTTTCTCGGGAACACTCTGCTGTGGAGAGTGGGGGAAGCCTGTACTCTGGCAGGAGACACGGACTCTGATTAACCACAGGCATGATTAGTTCTTTAATCACAATTGTGATTAAGACCTATTTATGATAGTTTTGTAAGAACTGATAGTCATGTAGCATGAACCGTGTGCTACTGTGGATCCAAGTGTATTAACTCATTTAACCCTCAGAACAACTTTATGAGGAGATGCTGTTTTCTCCATTCTGTAGATAAGGAAACTGAGGCACGGCTAAGAGATTTGCCCAAGTGGCAGAGCCAGGGCCCACACCTAGGTACTGTGGCTCCAGACTCCGGAATTACCACTGTCTGTGAAGGGGAGATAAGATGTTACAGGAGTTGGTAACAGGAGGCCTGACTTGGTCTGGGAGGGTGGGTATCGGGGAAGGCGTGTGTGAGGAAAACATGTATGGGGAAATTGAAGGGTGAGTCGGAGTTATTGTTGGGGGTAGATTGAGAAGAAGACTATTCCAGGAAGAACGAAGGGCATGAGCAAAAGCCCTGAGGTGGAAAGGACCTGAATGGAAGCCAGTGTGGCCGGAGCAAGGAGTGAGGAGCTGAGGGGGTCACGAAGCCGGTGAGGTAGGCAGGGCCTGAGGGGTGATGACGGTTTTGAGTGGGAGAATTGCCAGTGCTTATCTGGCACAACCCTTGGGCCATAATGATTTTCACTCAGTGGTTATTTAACAGGAGTTAATGGTGTTTGCTGTTTCCTTCCAAAGGTCCCAGGTTTTGTCCTACATACAGGTCTTTGTCTTTCTCTGGCTGTTAAGAAGCCTGAGATGGGGCTCAGATCTCCGTCCTGGGGCCCACCCCATGCCTTCTCACAGGGCCCTTTTATCGCACCCTGTGGGAAGTCGTTGTCCGATTGAGGTCCCTCCCGTGGTCCAAGTGACCCCCTCACCCTCCCCAGACCAGGAAACCCCAGCTACTTCACCGTGCAACCTCCCCTTCACCACCGGGAAGCCGGCCTCCTCCCAGAAGCCTTCCCCCATGGGAGCAGAAAATGGGCTCCCTGTCTTCCGTTAGACAAGGTATAAACACCAGACCCTCTTACTCTTCAGCCTCTGATGCGCCCGCTGACTCACCTCCCTGCCCAAGCCTATCCAGACTATAAATGTCCGCAGGGGGCCATGCCCCGGAGTGGTGAAGGGGGTTGGCGCGGGAGCAGCCTGCGGGGCCTCCAGTCTGGCTTCCCCACTGGCTTGCCCTGCGACCTCGAGCAGGTTACTTAATCTCGCTAAGCCTCAGTGTTCCCATCTATCAAATGGTGTTAATGATGCTACCTTCCTCATAGGATTGTGCTGAAGATTAAGTAAACTGAAACTTGGGAAGGAATTAAAGCACCTGGCAGCTAGTAGGCATTCAGGAAACATTCCTGCTTTTCACCCGCTGCTGTCAGCCCCGATCCTCTGCTGCCGGTCGTGGCCCCCCCATGAACTTGCTATCAGTAGTACGGAGAGTGTTATGTGCCCTTTCCGTGCTTATATTTGTGCTAAATATGCCCAAGGAGCACATTAGCAAGAGGACACAGGCCTTTAAGAGCCATCAGTCCCAGATGATAGACACCCCATGCCCAGTGACTGAAATGGAGGCAAAAAACAATCCGTTTCCTCACCAGGACTGTGATTGTATGCTTGCCTTTCTCTAAGGGAGCACTGGAGTTCTAGCATACTTTCCTTTCCCTTCCTGGTATTTGGCATCTGTAGACAGTGTCATGTCCCTGTGCCCAGAGATGGAATGAAAAGAGGGCAGGAAGTCTATCTCTTGGGAGAAAGCGGTGAGCGACGGGCCCTCCGAGCGGCTAGGCATGGTCCAGGGGGCTTAGGGTGCCTCTCGGGAGCCCAGTGCCCAGTCACTCCATTGACCTCCCACCATGTGCCAAACCTGCTGGACCCTGAGGGGTCCCGACGATGTGTGCAACCTGGTTCCTGTCCTCAAGGATCTTATAGTCTAGAATGGGGAAAACACTAAGTCTAGATGGATTCTTCAGTGTGTAGCATGAACTGTGTCGGCTTCTAGGGATCCAGAAAAGAGACAATAAGTAGGAATCGGAACTCCCCAAACCAGTTTAGGCAAACAGTAAGCAGTCAGTAGAGCAGGATTTAGAGTTGCTTAACCGATGTCGTCAGTACCTGATTTTTCTTTCATTCCATCCAGCTTGTTGCTTCTCCATCGGCCCCATTCCCAGAAAGGCCTTGCTCTCCGGCAGGGCCGGAGCTCCTGCACTCACATTCAGGTCCAGTAGCAAAGAGGGACACCCTCTGTGTCGGCATCTCCTCAGAAGGCCCATTGGCCTGGCTGGGTTCTTGTGTCTATCCCAGAGCCCATTGCAGGGGCAGAGGGCATGACACACTGATGGGCTTAGACCCCCTAACGTGCATCACTCCCGAGCCCTGGCTTCAGCCCCACCTGAAGTGCAAGGACTGAGCCTGTGGGAGCAGTGGGTTCCCCAAAGGAAATGAGGGCCCTTACTTGAGTAAGGAGGAAGTGGATGCTAGAGAGGAAACCTGCCTGCCTACCACACATGGTCGAGGGAGGCCTCCTGAAAGGGAGGGGCATGAACCAGGCCATAGGAGGGATAGGTCATGGTTAGGCAGGGATAGGAATGTGGGTGTGCAGGGCCTCTGGTGGGGTCTAGAGAGACCCCCAAAGGCTCAGGGGCCTGAATGGGAGCATGGTGTATCCCAGGCTCCCCGGGGCAGGCTGGCCTGAACGGGGGGCGTTTTGTACTGGGAGTGCAGACGTTGCTGCTTGCCCCATACATTCAGCTCCTGCACTGCAGAACAGGGCGTGAAGAGTCAACTTTTTCTGTGTCCGCGGGCCTTGCTTCCCCCTCTGAGCGTGCGCCCTTGGGAGCTGGCCCCTGGCTTCTTTCTGTGCTCCGCAGTGCTGCGGGAATGTGCCAGGGCAGAGGGAGGGGGACGGATGGTGGGGCGAGTGAGCGGTTAGGATAAGTCACTTAGGGCCCATGAGGGCTTCCCCTTAACAGGACAGGGCTTTGCACTTGATTCGGGCCTTGTAGGGAGCCACGGGAGGCTCTGCAGCAGGGAAGGGTGTGACAGAAGGGCTGAGGGAAGGCTGAGCCGGCGGCCATCGCAGAGTGGCCAGGAGGGGAGGCAGGGGCTTCCAGGGACGCACTGAGAACTGTTGCTGCAGTCAAGGCATGGAAGGGGTGAGGCTGCAGTCCAGGGGGGCTGCAGGCAGGGAGGGCTGGATAAGAGACATTTCAGAGGGAATGATGACAGATTGGGAACAGGATGAAGGAAAGGGAGGGGGCGGGGCTGGTGAGGGTGGTGCTGGCCTAGACCCAGCCTTATTCCCTGCTTCTCCCAACCCCCCATCCTGCAGCAGTCCACACACTCGGGGGCTTTTCATTTTTCATGGGCTTTTGTGGGGGGGACGTGACCCCGGCTTGGAATCTTCCCCCTCAAACTTATTCCACCGGCTTGAAGACTTCTTGTACAGAAGAGACAGGTGGGTATCTGTGTCCTCCCCGCCGCTTCCCCGTTTCAGGCCCAGGCCCCTCAGCCCAGGGGCGCCTGTGCCCAGTTCCGCAGGTAGGGGAGCTCATGGGAAATTAGCATTCCGAGCTGGCCGCCTTCCTCCTGCTCCGCCGCAGCGGGAGCCTCCGGGAGCCTGAAGAGAATGACAAGTGCCTCTCAGGCTCTCCTGGAGCCGCGCCTCTCCCTGCCCGGCGATCTGCCCTTCCCCTCACCTGGGAGAGGCCAGGCCCCACAGTAGCCATCCAGAGACATCACCTGCTTCACATGACTTAGATGCCGAGGCAGAGGGGGCTGGAGAGGCGGAGGGAGGAGGAGCCGGACGGCTTCCGTGTGTGGAAGTTGGGGTGCCGTCACTTGCCTTCCCCGTCATCCCTCGTGTGGCAGGGAAGATGCTGCCTGGGGAAGGATTCCTTTTCTCTGCCAAGCTTTTCCCCTTACTCTCCTTGGTCTTTCCAACCCCTCCTTCCTCTCTTCTTTTCCTCATTTCCCTCCCTCCCCCCTTTCCCAGCCCCTCCCCCCTTTCCCAGCCCCTCCCCCCTGCCTCCCCTCCTCTCTCAGCCGACTGGCACCTGGTGACTCCCAAGGTTAGGAAGCGCTCAGTCAGCTGCCTGCGGAATTAGCACAGCATTCCTCAGCAGCGGGAGCGGAGGAGGTAAGGCCGGAGCAGGTTCAGGCTCCGCCAGGCCGAGGAGAGGCTGGTGCTCCCTCCTCCCCAGCAGCCCCTGCGGCAGGTGGGAAGGTGTGCTGGGGTGCTGATTGCTGGGGGGCTGTGGCTGTGAGGGAGTGGGAGGGTCAGCATGGGAGGCGGGGCCCCCGGAGCCCAAGCAGTGGTCCCTGTGGGGCTTGGGGGAGGGCCTCCCCGCCGCAGGAGCCGCTTCCGGTAGCCCTGCCCTCCGCCTCCATGGTGTTCCCTGTGAAGTGCCTGCCTCCTCCGCCTGGACCGTCCTCCCCCATGTCTGCTCAGCACCGCCTCTTCTTGCTTTCCTCGGAGCACCTGAAGCCCCTCATCCCCCCAACCTTGTGGGTAGTAATAGGACTGAGGACCCATCCGCTAGTATGGGAACACTGGGCACACGGTTGCTCACTTTAAGCTTTACAGTAATTCCATGGTATAGAAGTCCCCATCCCTGTTTCGCAGCTGAAGAAGCCCGAGGCATAGGCCAGTTCAGTGACTTGCTCAAGGTCACACTGCTGCGAAGTAGATGTTAAAGCCAGGTTTGTGGGGCACACTGGTCACTTATCTCCCTGGGGGCTGTGTGCTCCCTGATTCATCTCCGTCCCAGGCTCTGAGCAGACTGACTGAGCCAGTTCCATTCCTGACGCCCACAGAGGCGGCCCTGGGGTCTGGGCAAATGTGTTTTGGGGACTTGGCTTCAGTGATAAGCTTGGAAACTGACCTGCCTTGAAGCAGACCACCACGCCAGGGGGTGTAGATGAGGAACGGCAAACAGATCGCCCCCTTGCCACTGCTCCCCCGCCTGCGTGGAGGACACTGCCGATCGGTCGTGGCACTCCGTCCCAGCCACGTGTGGCCTGCCGGGCCTTCCTAATGCCGCCTTCGGCACTGCCGCTGCCTGTCGTGAGGGCCCTTTCACCCATGCTCTGCGCTCTCAGCACCGCAGCTCCCAACTGTGAGAGACTAGACTGACTGGGGGCTTTGTCAACAAGCAGGCCATCACTTGGCTGGTAGGCTCTTGGATAACCCTGGAAATCCTGTCTTCTTTCCCCTGCCCACCACAGCAGCCTCCCTTGGAGCATTCCTGACAGGTGCTCATCCTGCTGGAATCTGATTTGCAAAGCTCTCCTAGAAAGAAAGTTTACTAGAAAGTTCTCCTTGTGCAGAACCAAGATCTACTTCCTTGTAACTCCACCCACTGGTCCTCATGCAGCCTGCTGGAGCGACAGAATAAGTAGCAATCGCTTTTCCACCCGCCAGCACTTTTGACATATGGAGGGAATTACCATGTTGTCTAAGTCACCTACCCTGTAGCCAGAACACCCTTCAGTCGTCTTTGTAGGACATGAGTGGCTCCCTCCTCACCGTCCTCATCACCCTCCTTTGGACGCTCTTGAACTCGTCACTTTACATTCAGCCAGTATTTGTTACATGTCAGGCACGGTCCCAGGTGCTAGAGACACAGCAATGAAGACAGACCTTATAGTTAGTCTAGAAGGAATTCAGAGTCCTCTTAAAATGTGGATCCAGTTTAAAGGGGATATAGCCGTGGAGAGGTTGGTGCCCAGCACAGATTAGCTCATTAATCTGGGGTCTGTTTTCTCTCTAGTGCCCCCAAGAGAGTGGATGTCCCCTGTTTGCTGAAAGAAGGGAGGAGGGACAAGGAGCTGTGTGCCCCCAAATCCCATTTCCTTCTCAAGCTGCTTAACACACTCTTAGCTCACACTGAGCTCTGGTTAACCAAAACCTCAGGCCTTGCTAGCCCTCCATCTTCTGTGTTTGTGCACTGGACTTTTTACACCTAAATGCTGGACTTCATCGCTTGTCAACTTCATCTTGTTGATTGCAGTCCATCCTTCTGGCCTCTCAAGATTATTTGAGTCTTGATTCCCCATGCAGACCGTTTTGGCCCTCCTCCGTTCGACATCTCCAGTTTACTAACCCAGGGTTTCGTGGGCTGAATGGGTCCTTGCCAGAGACCTTTGTGCAAGGCTGAAATCAGTCCGTTCTTCAGCAGTGCCCTTTGGGTGCTGTTGCTCATCTGGCTCTGATTTTTCCTAAATGTGCTCTCCTCCAACCCCCATAGCTCCATCTTGTCCACAGGATTTTGTGAGAAGCCGTCAGAATCTTTGCTGACTCAAGATGCACTGTGTTTAAGGTTTTCCCCTGATACACCAGTCTAATAACCCTGTCAAAAAAAGAAATCCTGTGATTTTAGAAAAATGCTGGCCCCTGGGATCTGCCTCTTTCTCTTCGAAGTGCTTACAGACCCTCGATTTAATCATCCATTCTGGAACTTTGCCAGAGTTTATGGTTAAGCTTTATGTTTGCAACTTAGAGAGATCAGCCCTTCTCTCCTTGATGGAAGAACCGGAACAGAATAGCCTTTGTCCCTCTCTAGTTCTGCTCTCCCTCCCACTCTCCATGTTGACTTCACGCCAAGTTGTCATATAACCACTGAGGTGGCTTCTGCACCCCGGGAGCAGAGTGTGGTCAGGCTGGGAGCTGGAGGAGGTAGCTTGCGCGTGAGTACCCTTTCTCAGTGCATGCAGACCTTTCTTCCTGCCAGAAGAGATGGAGCTCATGCAAGTCTGGTTCTACGTTCTCTCACTGGAAGGAAACTCTGCCCTCTGTTCTCTCTCTCCTTTGCCGCCCATTCAGCCCAGTCTGCCAGGGAAGACTAAGCTGCTTTGGGTCCCTGCTTGTACCCCAGCCCCCCCACCTCACTGAGCTCCCTGCACATAAGGAGCCAGGAGTAAGCAGGGAGACTGCAGGGAACTGAGACCCCTGGGTTGCGAAATTGGCTGATCTGGCGGGTTCTCTGGGGGACCAGAATCCTCTAGAGTTGGTGGGGTTTGATTTAGGAAGATTGGTCCAGAGCCTTGGCCATTAAACCTTTAAGGGAATCCTGGCGTTCCCTGGGTGCATCGTCTCTGACCCCAGAGACCGTGGGGCCCCTCTGCCATCCACTGCAGCCTCTGCCTTTTCCCCGTAAACTTGAGATTGTGGCTCTGCCTCTTTCTCAGTTGCGTGCTCCCTCCTGCCAGGTGAGTGCCGACGTGCGCCCTCTCTGAATGTGAAGCGTGGTGGCCATGGGCAGGGGCTGGTGTTCTTGCAGGTGGGGGAGCGATCGGGAGGAGGATGCCCTGGCACCTGTTTAGCCAGTCAACTCTGCAGTGACAAGACCCTTGCCATTGCTCAGTAATGTGGGACAGCGTGAGGCTCCTGTGCATTTACGTTTAGGGCACGTGGGTGTTAGCCATTCAGGGAGCCCCTCCAGGTGCCGGCGCTAGGAGAACAGTAGGGAACAAAGCCAAACCCTCACCCCCTCGGAGCGCAGATAGGCAATAGATGCATGTCAAGTGGCGCTGTGTGGAAGGGGGTTGGAAAGTGACAGGTGCATGTTTAGAGTTGGCGGGCGGGAAGGCTTCAGTGAGGAGCGTGCTCGGTGACGCAGCCAGCCCTGTGGTTGTCTGCAGGGACGGCACTCCATTTGAGGCAGAGGCCCCACAGTAATATATTTGGCACGTTTGGGGAAGAGCAGGACACTGTGTGTCCCTGGGACCTGCTGAACCTCCAAGCGAGCACTCTGACCACAGCCACCAGAACCATGGTGAGGACTTTGGATTTGCACGTGAGCCATTTATTATGTGTCAGGGCAGTTCCCTGTGATTGGGTCTGGGACTTGATTTAGACCCAGCTTTGCCCAACCCTCCTCCTTGGGAGCTCCAGTCTCCTCATCTGGAAGTAGGCGAGTAGGTACAGGAGTCATGACGATTTTCTCTCTGCTTGCCCCTGCTTGAGGCTGTAAAATCCTGGAAGCAGGGGCACTGTCCCCGACAGATGGCACGTCCAGGTACCACCTTGGGGCCAGGGTGATTGCCCGTTCCTACCCAGAGCTCCAAGAACTAGGTAGAGCTCATTTCTAGACCCTTCAGGTTAGAGATCCTGCAGAGGTCAGTTCAAGGTCAGCCGTGACAAGCAGGTAACACTGTATTTTAAGGGCCCTTGCCGAAGCCCTTGGCTTTGCAAGTTTGCAGATAGAAGCAGGGGTGCAGGAGACTGCAGGGGCTTGGCGAGCAGCCCTCAGCCCCTGGGTTTTTGTTTTTTTTTCCCATGGCAGGATCTCTCAGCGAGTAGAGCTCAGCCGGAAGCAGCTACAGGCCATTGGAGAGAGGGTCTCCTTGGCCCAGGCCAAGATTGAGAAGATCAAGGGCAGCAAGAAGGCAATCAAGGTAGACCCTGTGGCCCTGAGTCCCCGTGGCTGGCAGGCAGTCCCAGAAATCCCATCCCTATCACCTCCCCATGCTCCTGACGTCGCCTAGGTCCCTGCCCGCCTTGCCCAGCCACACCTCAAGCTTTCCTTCTGCTCAGACCACCTCCCCCCACCCTAGACTCTCTGGAGCACCTCGGACTCCCTGTGTCCACAGGTGTTCTCCAGTGCCAAGTACCCAGCGCCAGAGCGCCTACAGGAGTATGGCTCCATCTTCACGGGTGCCCAGGACCCTGGCCTGCAGAGACGCCCCCGCCACAGGATCCAGAGCAAGCACCGCCCCCTGGACGAGTGGGCCCTACAGGTCTCATGGGCTCACACACTTAATGGGGAGTGACCAGAGGTGGCCCTGGGTGTCGGGGAGGAACTGAGGGTTCTTTTCCCTAAGAGGATTTGGACTGGGATGGGTGGTCACTTTGGCCTGGCCCTGAAGCCCACCATCCATGTGTTACCACCCCTGCCCCTGCCAGGAGAAGCTGAAATACTTCCCTGTGTGTGTGAACACCAAGCCAGAGCCTGAGGACGAGGCCGAGGAGGGCCTCGGGGGCCTTCCCAGCAACATCAGCTCCGTCAGCTCCTTACTGCTGTTCAACACTACTGAGAACCTGTACGGCACATGGCAGGGCCCTGGGAGGGCGGCTGGGTGGCCTGGCCTGGCTTCGTGGGGGCCTGGGGGGGCCTCAGACTCCGGTGCAGAAGTCTGCAGGCTGGGCAACCCGGAGCCAAGCAGCTTGATTGACCTTGTAAGGCCTCGGAGTCCGCAGTACAGACTAACTGTGGCCCCAGTGAAGTAGGAAAGCTGGGTCAGGACCATGGGCTTTGAGCAGATGGACTGCCCGACATCCACCCCACCTCTGTAGGTACAAAAAGTATGTCTTCCTGGACCCCCTGGCTGGTGCTGTAACAAAGACCCACGTGATGCTGGGGGCGGAGACAGAGGAGAAGCTGTTCGATGCCCCTTTGTCCATCAGCAAGAGGGAGCAGCTGGAGCAACAGGTAGAGCCGGATGATGCCTCGGCGCCGGGGGGTGGGGTGGGGGGGGCGCGGCTGTAGCGGACAAGGTGCGTGGCCCTGCCAGCATCCTCTAGGTGAGGGGTCCATTGAGCCCTTACTCCCACCCTGCTGTACATGGGTATGCACGAGGTCCTGCTGACTGCCCCAAGGTCAAACTGCAGGGCCCAAGCCTCCTTCAACCCCCACTCGTGCCCCCCACCTAATCCTGCAGGTTCCAGAGAACTACTTCTATGTGCCTGACCTGGGCCAAGTTCCTGAGATTGACGTGCCATCCTACCTGCCCGACCTGCCAGGCATCGCCGATGACCTCATGTACAGTGCTGACCTGGGCCCTGGCATTGCCCCCTCCGCCCCTGGCACCATTCCAGAGCTGCCCGCCTTCCACACAGAGGTGGCCGAGACTTTCAGGCCGGGTGAGCTGAGAATAGAAGTTGGGCAAGAACTCCCTTACTTGGCCACTTGCTTTCCTAGGCACCTCACACTTTCCCACACTTCTGTTTCAGACCCAGAAGATGGGGTGCTAACAGCACCCCCCCCGCCACCGCCGCCGCCTCCGCCTCCCCCAGCTCCGGCTGTGCTGGTCAGCGCTCCCCCACCCCCACCCCAGCCCATGGCCTCCCCGGGCCAAGGTGCCAGGGAGGACGACATCAGTGGTGGTGTGTCTCCTTTAGGTAAGAGCAGCACCAGGGTTCACGGAGGGGTCAGAGTGAGGGGGCGTGTGCTCTTTGAGGGTGCCTCTAATTTCTGGATCCCTGAAGGGTTTCCTGTAGGTTTATGTGACCATGAATTCTAGAATAGTTCTAATTTCAAAATCTTGTTCCACTGGGTTCATGAAATAGTGGCTTTCAAACTGTCTGTAGCCCCACCCCCCCCCCCAGAATTCTCATCTCCAGGGCAGAGGGAGCCTGGACGTGGACAGGTGGAGCTGTGGTCCCCCATTCCCACTTACACCAGTGGAAAAAGGGTGGCTATTGAAAACAGTAGAAAGCTTCAGCAACAAGATATGCATATCCTTAAATTGCAGGATTTCAGTTTAAGCAGGACATCTCCTGGTCTATCTCCAGCACCCAGAGGCGGCACAAAAACCCCATGTTGGCTCATGTGTCAAGTTCAGACACCGTCTGCACAGCAGTAGATTCCCACGATCCACCTCTGGGGTGGCCCAGGTGGTGTTGGAGAGGGACCTGGGGTGCCTAGACATAGGACTTGCTGAGCTCAGGCAGATGCAGGCAGCATCCAGGCTGCAGACGGTCTTCCAGGGCTCGGCTTCACCCACTGGCTTCCTTTTTCAAGAGGAAGAGCCCGTTCTCACAGCCAGGCTTGAGGGGAAGCCTCTGGACTCCCAGAACCTCAGGCTGGGCAAGGCTGTCCCGCAGCGTGGCCTGCCTGAGCAGCCGTCTTCCTCACACCCTGCCCTCACATCCAGCTACAGTCCAGGGAGCTCCCAAGGAAGTGGTGGACCCCTCCAGTGGCCGGGCCACTCTGCTGGAGTCCATCCGCCAGGCTGGGGGCATCGGCAAGGCCAAGCTCCGCAGCGTCAAAGAGCGCAAGCTGGAGAAGAAGAAACAGAAGGAGCAGGAGCAAGGTGAGGATCCTCAGCCCACTCCAGTAGGGGGCTCTAAAGAAAGGGCCACCTTCTTCTGTAGCCTCCACCAGACTCCCAACAGGGTGCTCTCTGCCCACCCCAAAGGTCAGAGGGGCAGCACCCAGCCCACCTGCCCCATGCTTTCCCCAGGCTGTCTGCAGGAAGCCCTGGGCGGCCGTCCCTAACATTCCCACCCTTCCTGTTTGGGCTAGGGGTTCCTTCCTGGTTTTGTAGCCTGCTTAGAACCTTCCTCTCTAAACTAATAGGAGACAGAGCCTCACCCAGGAGACAGAGCTTCAACCCAGCTCAAACTGTAACAGAGCATCTTCTTAGACTCTGCCAGGAGCTGTCCCAGGACATGGGTGGGGACCTGAGCTGCTGTAGAGACTGCGGAGCTGAAGGGTTAGCTCAGTCCTGCTTGTCCAAGCCTCTCGAGGCTGCAGGTTAGGCGTGCTGTGCATCCTAAATGCAGCACGAACAGAACACCTGGGCCCAAAGCCACAGTGCCCTGGAGTCCCGAAGTTGAGTTCCAGCTAGGTTTCTGAGCTTTGCGCCGTGACCTCAGGCAAACTGCCCATCCTCTCTGGGCTGGTTTCCTCGTCCATAGAACGGGGCCCCTCCTACCTCCCCGCTTTGTCTCACAGCCAGTTTAATAGTGCCCCAGTGCTGGCCCCACTGACGGCCGGCAGCTCCAAGAGCTGGCCGTGATGCGGGCGGCGGGCTGGCAGGTGTGGCTAGTGAGCAAAAAGACGAGAAATACGACAAAACCCTGAGGAGGTCACTCCAGGGGCAGATTTTGTCCTTGGTCCCCTCATCTGACCTGTGACTTTTTCCTGCCACAGTGAGAGCCACAAGCCAAGGTGGAGACCTGATGTCGGATCTCTTTAACAAGCTGGTCATGAGGCGTAAAGGTAGGAAGCAGAGCCTGGCTGCCTTCCCTGGGCTGGGAGCCTCAGGGTATTTTGTATCCTGCACCTTCTGCTTTTTCCTTCCTGTTTTTAAGTCTCTAGCGGCTGGGTGAACTGGTATCCCAATCTAACCCCCCTCACCCTCCACCCCCCCTCCCAGGTATCTCTGGGAAAGGACCTGCGACAGGGGCCAGCGAGGGGCCGGGAGGAGCCTTCGCCCGAATGTCAGACTCCATCCCGCCCCTGCCCCCGCCACAGCAGCCACCTGGAGAGGAGGACGATGACGACTGGGAATCCTAGGGGCTCAGCCCCTCCTTCCCCCCCAGCGTGCACACGGCCGGGACGAGCTGCCTGGCCTGGGGGGGGCGTCTCTCGGCCTCTGCTGCCCGTGGAGGACTATCCCAGGCCTGTGCCTTCTTCAGGCAGTGAGGTGGCCAGCTTCTGAGGCCAAATGGCTGGGAGCGGGGAGCCCTTGTGCTCTTCTCCAGCCACAGACTAAAATAAATACATGAATCGATACAGCAGTATCATGCAAGAACCACTTTTAATTAAGGAACCCTAGCTATGCGGAGGGCAAGCGTCTCCTCCAAGCCGGCACCTGTTCTCCCGCTCCCCCTGGGCTCCAGTGGTGGGGGCAGAGCACCGAGTGGACCACGGCCCCTTCCTCTGGGTCAGGGAGAGCAGAGAGGTGCAGTCAGTAGGGGCGGCTATTGCAGATGGAGGGAGGAAGGGAGATTTTCACACAGGGAAAAATGTCTCCATGACAGACACGGGGTCTCTAAAAATAGTCCTGCTGGGAGCCTAATGGCCCTTGGCATCATTGCTGAAGTCAGGGGAGGAGGTGTCTTGAAGTTTGCTCAAGTGGCTGAGTGGGAAGGAGGTGCCACTGCCTTGGAGGAGGACGTGGAGCCAGGCCCAGGGAGCTAGACATGCTCTGGAACAGGTTAGGGGCCAGCACTGTGGTTGGGGAGAGAGACCAGCAGGTGGGGGAGCCAGCACATGGCTCTCTTCCCAGTTCTGACAGAAGGTAGGCTTGAGGTGGTCAGGGGCCCCTGGGCAGAAGGAGCCCTATGGGCACCAGGGGGCTGGAAAACAGGGAACGTTCTTAGTTTTGAAGAGACGGCGAAGGTCTAGAACAGCAAACTAGCCTGAAAGACTGGAGGGCACGTTCCGCCTCACGCGTGAGTGCGCAGACACTGAGGGAAGGACAGAACTGCTGCGGTAGAAGGCTGGCCAGGAGGCTGGGCTCTGGGCCGGGCTGAATATGAGCAAACATTCAATTCCGGGAGCGGAACTGCCCCGGGATGGGTCCCAGGATGGCCATGGCCCACCGTTTCTTCAGGATCAACCTAAGGTTCTCCTACTGGTTTTTCCACCTGTGCCTGGTCCTGGCAGCCCTCTGATTTCCAGAAAGGGGCTGGTCTGGTCTCCAGCTGGGTGTCACCTTCTTAGGCTGGATCCCCGCAGAGCAGGCCCAAGACAAACCTTTCAAGTGGGCAGCGGGAAGGAAGAGCCTGGCACCCAGGCAGTGGTGGGCCGTCCATCAGGAAGGGACAGACTTCTCACGATGAAACTGAGGCGACAGGGGAAAGCAGTGAGGCATGAGACCTCGGGGGTGGGGAGCTCCCGGGGGGAGGGGAGGGAAAGGCAGGACCTACCTTCCTCATAGCAGCAAAGGCAGGACCAAAGGTGGCTTTGACCTGCACACGGTCTCGGATCCAGGCTGGCAGCTTGCCCAGGATAGGTGGGCGGGCATACCGCTGATCCAGAAGCACTATGCTGGCAAAATCCTTCTGGTGCCTGATGGCCCTGCCTAGATGGGGACAGAGGTTGGGGCTCTTAAACCAGCCTCCCTCACAGTACATTTCTGTTGTGCCCCCTCCTTCCTCGGAAAGACAAGGAAAACCCCTCCTTCCTGTCACCCCATTCTCCAGCCACGCATCCCAAGAGCCAGGAGCAGTCCCAGGCCTACCTATAGATTGGTTGACAGCCTTCATACACAGGTTCTCCACCAAAGCCTTCCCTGGTGGTGGCTGACCTGGGCTTCTGGGCTGGGGAGGGCAGAGCGGAGCACCTGTTAGCATTTCTTGCCCCCCTCCCCCCGGCTCAGTGTTCTGAGAAAATGGCACCGCTTGGCATGGGAGCAAGGGCAGGTATGGCGGGCCCAAGGCCAGCAGCGGCTCTAACAGACCGCAGAGCGGCTCCAGAGGGTAAGGGGGCGCGTCCCATCCCCTGGAGCAGACGGGAAACACTGGCACGCATCGGGGCAGTGGGCAGGCCACAGTGGTGCGGCCCTGTTACCGCAGCCCCCGAGGCGACAGCAGCTTCTCCACGGCCGCCTTCTCCCACCCTCTGGACACTGGAGGTACTCACTAGGGTCTGATCCAGGTAGGCCATCTTCTCTTGCAGCTCTGGAGACTTGATGTTGGGGTAGGGCATGCCTACCATGACCACACACCTACGGCGGAGGGAACATGAGCCCATGGCACGTGGGTGGTCAGGCCCCCAGCGCGTTTGCCAAGGGCCAGGATGAAGGACCCAGGCCTCACCCTCACGTCATCAACAGCTACATCCAGTGCTCCTTCAGCCCCCTCAAGTTGTGCTTGCAGTCTCCACCTCCCCCTCCCCACCTGGAGTAGGCGTGCTCAGTCGAGAGACCCAGTGCAGGCCACATGAATGGAGTCCTGACAAGATTACGCTCTAATTTCCACCTGGAACCTTTGGCCAAAGGGCCAAAGCTACCTCCCCACACAGCTGAGTGACCCACGCAGTCAGCCGGGGGTGCAGACTCCGACAGCATCAGCTTGCAGCTGTTTTGTGGAGGGGTGATGAAAAGCGGAGCCTGGGAGATGAGAGGCCCACAACTCACCGGCCGAGGTTGTCAGAGAAGTTAATACCTTCACTCATCTTTCCTCCAACCACAGAGAGGAGCAGAGCACCTGTCACCGTGCCTCCCGCCTGGCCACAGCACTGTGGGAAATACCAGCCCAGGTTGTGGAGCCAAAGCTTGGATGCCACGCAAATTACTGGCAGCTGCCCCCTTGTTCTCTGGACTCGAGGCCTCAGAGTTATTTCTCACCTTAATGCACCTGGAATACTCCATCAGCACCTGCTCCACCTGGTTTGCTCTCTTGGGTTCCTGAAATATCTGAAGGGAAAAAGACAACGTCTCCCAGAAAAGGGTTTCAGAATGCGTGGGTCCCAGCTCTGCTCTTGGCCTTTATGTTTTCCAGGCTGGAAACTGGAGAAGCCCTCAGAGTAAGGGGATTTAGGGAAATTCTCCAAAGGTGATCAGGGGTTACAAGTGGTGGGGGTAAGGAACTAACAGAGGCCCAGACACGAGGCCTAACCTTCCGGTCCGACATGCATGAGAAATCCTAGCAGGAACTCTGGGTGCCACTGTCCTCGCAAGTGGGAGTTCCAGCTGAGTGGTCACTCACCTTTTTCTTGACAGCCAGGCGGGCCAGCAGACCACTCTTATCCCAGTGGGCATAGACCTGGCGTTGGTACTCATAGGAGGGGAAGAAACAGACCACCCCTCCAGAGACCACAGTGCACAGGTTACAGAGAATGCGACCAGTCTCATCCATCTACGGAAGACAGAGAGCCCTCCCTGGAGCCATTCCTGAGGCCATATCCAAACAGTGCTTCCTGACTTTGGGACTCAAAACCAAGTACAGAGATCCAAGGGTGACTGCAGTCATGGGGGAGACCTGTGGCCAGGAGTCCCCTCCCCGGGCAGGGATCAGAGATGGGAAGGTGCCCCCCACCCCCCAACACACATCACAATGCTAGCGCACCAGAGCTAAAACTTGTTGCTGGCATGCTGCCGAGGCCTCCCTGCTCCAACGCCCAATGCCTAGTGGGCCACTGGGGACTAAGCACCATCTACAACAAATCGGACACTGAAAATCCCAGGTGCGCCTCTCGCGACAGGCCCCCAAGCCCCGCATCCCCGCCCAGGGCAGGGACCGATATAACCAAATGGCCAAGAGAACCAAAGGAAACAAGCAGCTTTCTCATCAGGTTCATCCTGAAAGGATGCCTCGAGGTTCTAAGAAAACGTATTTAACGGTCTTAAGGGGTGAGAAGAGGGGGAAGCTCAGACCTCCCCCGAGGAGCATCCGGATGGACACTCTCCAGCCTCTGCCGGCTCCGTGGTGGAAGACCACAGCGCTCATCTCCCCAAGACCTGAACACTAAGCACCGGCCAGGGTGCCCATCACCCCCGAAACGGCTCTCCTGCCGCAGCAAAGGCTGTGGTAAGGCGAGCAGGCTGGCACTAACCATCTGCGGCAGCTCTCTCTTCTGGTACGTGAACTCCAGCTGCTGGCTGGAAGGCCCACTGCAGATGACGAGGGGTAAGATATTGTCTGGAGGGATCACGTGACCTGCAGAGACCGGGGGAGGGGCTGAAAGCAAGGTGCTGACGATTCTGTAAGGCAGGGTCCGGAAAGAGCATTCCCCAACCCTGTCTTCCATGCCAGGAGGAGCAATTCCCACTTTCGCCCACCCGCCTGCTTCCACAGCACACATGGGCCGTACTCAGACCTCTCCACGGAGGCCGAGGACACGGTGCGGGAGCACAGAGACAAGTGAGCTCACGCGAGAGCTGACAAAGCATGGAGCTCCCCCACTTCCTGGTCTCCTCAGCCCCTTGGGCCTGATAAAAGAGCACAGGGTCAAACTGTGACAACAAGGGGCCGGAGTGCAACGCGTGGCCCATTCCACCCTGGACAAGGATTCTCACCACAGGAAAACTCCACCACTCGCTCAGCTTCCACCCCAGCACAAGCCAGCAGCTGCTCCCGAAAGTCAGACACCTGCAGACCACAAGGCAGGGCTCTGTGATCCCCCAGGGGGCTGGGGGCTGCAGGCCTGAGCAGGCAGGGGGGCCTTGGCAGGGAGGGAGGGAGAGCGAGCCGCACGTCGGGGGAAGACAAAGGTTGGGCTGGGAGGCGGTTAAGTGCATAAAAATAGAGAAAAAGAGGTAAAAGGTAAGGCAGATAACAAATTGGCAAAAAGAAAAAAAAAATTAATGATACCCAGTGTTGGACAGTCTCAGCGAGACTGTGGGAATAGCAAAGGAAATCTGGTAAACTAGGCAAAGTGCTTCTCACCCCTGGCTATGCAACAAGATCACCTGTGGGAATTCAAGACAAAACCCGCACGCCCAGGCCCCAGCCTCAACTACTCTCTGGAGAAGAACCTCTGCGGGGGAAGACATACGCGTTTGTAATTTTAAAGCGCTCCAGAGTTTTCACCTACTGAATTGGCAAAAATCCAAAGTGTGACCCCTCCGTGGAGAAACAGGTGCTCACACACTGCTGGTGGGAGACAGAACTCCAGCTGGAGGGGAACTGGACAACAGTTAATAAGTTGGACGTATGACTTTTTAGCTTGGCAGTTCCCCCTACCCAGGAGTGCCCCCTGAAGATAACAGCTTCACGAGCCAACCCATGCACAGGGATACTCCTGTGCAGCGATCTGTGAGCGCATGACCGCCCTTCAGGAGGGCCCGGTGAATGCGCTTGCCGCACCCTCCCAACCATGGCGCCGCGGCCTCTGATGTAAGGAACAAAGAAAGGAGAAAAGTACATATATTTGCTTAGTTTTACAGATAAATGCAACAAAACCGTGCAAGGAAAGACCAGCAGTCATAAAAATGATTGCCTCTGGGCATGGGGAGCAGCTTGGAGACGGACGGAAGTGGGACTTTCTGAAGGCATCTTTCCAGATGGTTTCGATTTCTGAACCATATACGTGTTTACATATTTTAAAAACAAAATTAAGTCAGAAATAAAAAAGCAAACTCTAAAACTGAAAACAGATGGCAACAAGAAAGCCTGTCTGTCACATTCACAAGAGAAGCACACAAAGAAAAGCCTGACTTCAAGTGACTTCATATCCTTAGTGACCATACATCCCTAGTAGGATATACTCTCAGGGCAAAAAATAAATGCAAAGAAATGAAATTTCAATCAGCAGTTTACTGTTAGAATAATACTGGTAGTATATGAAAGTATTTGAAGTATGCTGTGGGATAGAGCAAATAAGTAATCAGATAGAGCAAATGTAGTAAGAAATGAAACGTTCAGCTCAAGAGAAAATAGATACAATGTGAGGTCAAATAAATTCACTGGTTTTCATTTAGAAATATCAATATGGACTCATGATTTCTTAAAACCATTCTCCCTGGTCTGTCTACAGAAGGCCTAAAAGCAATTACAATCCAGGGGCAGGACAAACACCCAGAACCAAGATGTTGGTTTCCATACACCAATCCCCAAATAAAGAAGTCAGGTTATCTTGGAGAAATGAAGGATTCCAGCTCTGGGGCAAAAAAAGTATAAAATGACCTGGGACATTCTGCATTGTGTCATTCCAAAAAGCAAGAAAGCATCCCCAAGGCTCATGAGGCCTTGTCAAGGACCAAGGGCAGCATGTGGGGGCTCTAAGGGGCTGAGTCTGAGACACCTGAGCATCAAAAGCAGCCATGACTAGAAATGATTTTAATATGTGAACAAAAATCTACAAGTCTATACAAAAGAAAGAAAAATGGAAAATAAAGCAACAGGGGTGGTTCTAGCAGCTGAGGAGAGGGACCAGAGTGCGTGAGCACCGAGGAGCCTTCCACGGGCTCAGTCCTGTGCCAGGCGTACCTTGAGGACAGGACCACTGTGCGCAGACATGGCTCTATGTGCCCCCGTGTTGCTCAAAACAGAGAAAAACTGGAAATCACCTGAATACCTAACACAAGAAGAGTAGTTCTACAAAATAGAATATGTTCACGCAGTAGAGCCAGAGCGTGGTAGAACAAATGCGTACGTACTTCCTGAAAAATGTTTACGGCATTTTGTTGCTGAGTGGAAAAACCAGATCGTAGCAACAGCATGTAGAGATAAGAGATTTTTGTTTTTAAAATATGTATGTAGATTTGTAAAACTTATGCACACACAGACTGTAACGACATACACTAAAATAAATCTTTTGCTGGTGGAATTATGATCTGTTTTTTTCCTTTTGTGGGGCTCTGCTTTCTACAATGAAAGCATAATACTTTCCTATGTACGTGTGTGTGTCTATGAATTTATAAGAGAGGGAAGGTGGCATCTATGGTGGGTCTAAGAAAGGAACGGTGCTAAGGCTCCGGATGGGGGCCTGCAATTCCAGAACAGATGTCTTTGGGAGAAGTGTGGTCCTGTGGCTCCAGAAGCACCAAATCAGCAGCAGTGCCCTTGCCCCCACCTTCGCCCGCCCCTCGCCCAGGGCTAAAGGCCCAGGCATGAGACAGTACAGCAATGCCACCCAGTGGACACTGCTCAGCCTGGGGGCCCACTGGACGGGAAGAGGCCTGACGGTGCATCTTTCCCCTGTCGCTGTCCCGTCCCAACACCTGGGGTACAGGAGGCTGGCTCTGGTCCCCTTACCGGTTGCATGGTGCCCCCTGCGATGACCACGGCCCGGCATTCCTTCACCACCTGGGCGAAGTGCACAGCTGGATTCAGGAGCAAGAATTTGAGGCTACTCTGACTAAGGCTTCCTGAAAAAAAGACAAGACAGCTCCGTGGGGCAGGAGGCGGGCTGCAGGCCCAACAAAGACTTCCGTGAGTCTGAGGCAGAGGGGCGCTCAGCTGTGTCCACGTAGGAGCCACGGAAGATACCACTTTCCTTTTTGATTAGATCCCACTTAATCTCCAGGACAACCCTGAGGGAGACAGCACTAATCTCTCCCTTTGCACATTTATCTTCAGAGAGAGAAAAAAACACAGCTCAGAGGTGATGGAATCAAGACTCAAACCAAAACCCACCTACCCGTCTCTCGCAGCCCGGCCCAAGACGCCCCACCGTGCTACTGCCTCACACCCCTCCTCACACCACCCCCCCCCCACCAGGCCACAGGGACCAGTCATCACCACCCTGTTCCCTGATCCAGTCTTTTCATGCTCTGGTTCTGCAACTCCATGCTGGCTCCTCCTTCGGATTACCTTGGCGGCTCACGATGACCCTGCCATCCTGGTTGGCAGTGGTGAGGGCTGCTAGGAAGGATTCGATGTGCATCAGCGGGGAAGCCAGCCGTGGCACCCTGGCCTCGCCCTCCTCCACAGGGGTCACAGAGGCTGCACAGAGCAGAGAGAACAGGCTCTGGGACCACAGAGGCGGCAGGACCCCCTGCGGCGAGGCTAAAGCCATTCTCCCAGGGAGGGGGTGAGGCACGGACATTCCCGTCCCCCGCCTGCTGTGCAGTCTCCAGCCTCCTGACTCACTCTGGGTCACTGTGGGCTGCAGGCTCTGCAGGAAGTGCTGGAACCCAGCCAGTTTGGGCTGCTCCCTGGAGGGTGCGAGGACTGTGCCGTACCTTTCTGTGAAGCCGAAGAGCTGGAACGGGGTAAGAGAGCGCAGGGAGGAATGTGGGCGCAGCAGTGGGAGCCCCGGCTGGAGGGAGGTTTTGCCGTACCCCATACAGCCCGCAACCCCCCCCCCCGCCCCCAGCAAGCAGCGCTATAGGAAGAAGGGAGCAGAGGTGACCTGAGTGTCTGAAAGTACCTTCCTGCTGACCATGCTCCTCTCACAGTAGCGCTGCACCTGCGAAAGCAAACCCGCTGCAGGTGCCAGCAACAACTAGCTGGAAGACAGAAACCGCCACCTTCCCGAACCCCAGGGAGGACTCCCTGCCACCTCCTGAGGAGCCCCAGCCTCCTCGTGGCCAGGCATGTCACCCTGCTGAGGTCACGCCTCTCCTGCCGCCCCCACACACAACGCGGTGCTCTCCCACGAGAGCAAGCCTCATGCGTGCGGTCCCTTCACAAACGTGTGCATGGCTCCAACCCTCTCTAAAGGTACTGGTGACAGGTCCCCTCCGTTCTCCTTCAATGTGACAGCACCTAAGCTGAACCTTGAAAGATCTAGAGTTAAAAAAAAAACCTCTCGGAGCAAAGGCACGAAAGAGGTACAGCCTGGGGCTTGTTCGGGGACGTCGGGTGCGTACACTACGCGCAGCCTGGGAGGGAGACAGGGCGTGGAAGCCTTGGAAGATTTTGAAAGAGAGCGTGACCTTCCAGCGGAGCTCCACTAGACTACAGTGTAGGAAAGACATCAGAAGGCAGAGGGAGTGAAATCAGGGAGAGCAGGGAGAAGGCAAGAGGAAAAGCGCCTGTCCTGACATAGCAGCCGTGGGAATGGAAAGGCCGCGGAAGTTCAAGAGCTATTTCCGGCTCTGGGGCCCGGCAACTGCTTGGATGTGGGACCCAAGGCGAGAAGAAAGAAATCAAAAAGGCCTCAGATTGCCAGCCTGTCTGATGGGGTCATGGCAGTGACAGGACCAAAATGGGCAAGTTGCGGGGGTGTGAAGACAAATGGGAAGGCAGGAGGGAGAGCGAGCAGGGTCAGGAGTCCGGGGAGGGGTGGGGGGGGGCTCACACGCCAGGTACCATCTGCTCACTTGTGTGCGGCCTGTGCCTGTCCCTCCTGGGGTAACCTCTCCCAGCCTTGGGTCCCTCTGCTTTTGAACAGTGATGGTACATCCTACCCTGGAGTCACAGAACCTGGTGCGTTGCCTTGAATGCAGTAAGTGCTCCGTGTTATTAGTAATTGAGAATCCCTGAGTCGTGAGTCGAGCGAACATGGCGGTACCCTGCACAGCGAGCCCGGAGCGAGCTACCACGGGAGGCTGCACTCAAGCTCAAGGCCGGAGTGGGAAGAGGCGAGGGAGTTCTCAGCCACCTCAGCCCAACAGCAGGATCATGCTCCTGAAGTTAACCTCCTGCTCGGACTAGAAGCCCAGGGCAAAGACTACGCCAGAAGAAAGATGGAACAAGGCAAAAGACCTGGGAATTTCTATTTGTGCCTATTTGGGACAATGAAAGGAACCTTTTCTCACCAATCCCTAGGACCCTTCAACCCTGGATTGAAGATTGTTTTCTTCTTGCTGATGCAATGCCTTAAGGGTTAAGTAATCAGAAACATGTATGCTGTAGATCCTCAGACTTCTAGACTGCTTAAGGACAGAAGAAATTTACTTCCTATTCCTCTGTCTTCACACAGTGTTCTGCTCACAAGTGGTAATAAAGATAAGAAAACTGGATGTGCGGACACAAAACGGTGAAAATCTCTACCTTGAACAGGTTGATGTTGTCGATCTGGCTCTCAAAGAGGAAGTCATTAATGGTCTTCAGCTCTGTCCCTAGGGGTAAACAAAGGGCCCTGGAATCCTTACTCTGAAGACCACGGTCCCCGAGGTGAGCTCAGAACCGGCTCAGAGCAGCTCTGGGCCTCTGGAGGCAGTCCTCTTACCTGTCTGCGAAAGGCTCTGTGTGTTGGGATTTTGCTTCGTGTTCCCTAAAACAGAGTTCAAGCAGGTCAGGATGGTGACTCTCTGACCTCCCCCCCCACTTCTCACACTGAACACTGTACTCCTCAAATAAGAGCATTCATATTTGAACGGATTTTTTTTGCCATTTATAAGTACCCAAAAAACCCACTGAGGGGAGCCTCAAAATCTGACCCACGTTTGCACATGGGGCCCAAAGCCTTGTGGATTTCATTCTTTTCACACCTCCTCCAAGGAGGCTGGGACCGAGTGACCACCCTACTTTATACAGCCGCAAAGGAGAGATGGAAGGGAAGAGCACCAGCATTCGACAAAATCCCTCCTGCGAGATGCTCCCCTGGCTTCCTGAACTTCAGCATGTATGTAAGCCTTTGCCATGCAGCAAAGGAAAGGGTAGGTGACAGAGAACTGTGGGACTCAGAGCCACAGGAGTCCCCCCTACTAGGTTCATGAAGCAGAGGCAGGTCACATCCCTGCTCTGAGCTCTAGTTTACTCATCTGTCAACGAGGGTGAGCGGGCTGCTCTCCTCAGAGGCACGCTCCAAAGTGACTCCACACAGTCCTGTTACACTATGCTGTTATTACTACCTGGGGAGTATGGTCTGGCAAAATAAAAAGGACTCAGAACAAGGAGAAATAAACCAGGAATCTAAAAAAGGATCTAAGGCCAGACAATTCAGCTAAGCTATAAGCTTATAAGAAATAAGAATCTTCTCCATCAGTGGCCAAGACAATTCTTGAGGACGAAGAAAACCCAGGTGTCCTGACTGGCATCCAGGGAATGGACCACAGCAAGCTGCTTAGCAGGCCAGGGGTTAGGGTGGGCATGGTGCTCCTTACCACCCAACACAGTCACAAACTTCTCCAACAGATACAGGATCTGTTTGATGTACATCAAGTTCTTGGCCTTCAGACGCTTCCTGAGGAGACACCAATGGACATCAAGTGGTAGTACTCCACAGGCAACTTCCCTTCCAAGTGCCTCAAGCCAATGCCTTTCTGTCTAGTGTCTTTCAAAGCAGGCCACGAGTGATAAATATGCACCCAGAAAAGAAGGCTTGCCGTGGCCCAAGGCCCTCCTAGCCAGCTGTTGCGTCCCGAGCATCCTCGGCCCGTGTGGGGTACACACCACGATGAACAGGAGGGGAATAACCTGCTGGCCTCCCTGGCGCTGGGACTGGGCCAGAGATGGAGACCCCAGGGCTTTCAGAAACTGAGCAGGGTTTTCCCTTCCCCTTCAGGGGGCAGCGTCTTACCCATATCGTTCCATATACTGGAGCAACTGGGAATGGGCCTGGCAGAGCTGGAGAGAACAGAGAATGGGCGTGAGGGAAGCCCAGGCTCTAGGCAAGCAGCCGAGAGCTGTGCGAATGACATCTTAGATTATGCCTAGAAAATTCCAGCCAGGCCACATGGGAAGCAGGTAAAGAGAGTAGGCCTGGGTACAGACAAAAGGCCTTGAGGCCGCTGGGAGCTGAGAGGCGAAGGAAGGGGGGGGGGGTCTGCTGCCGTATCCTCTTTGGGTCAGGGAAAAAAGCAAGACGCTCAATCTCTCAGGTAATGAATCTCCCTACTAATTTTTACTGCGTTGGGCAAAGATGTGTTTTCCACTAAGCACAGCGGTGGTTCAAGGTAGCCATTACACCCTGGCCTAAGGTCAACACAGGCAGTAGAAGTGGTGGGGGGCACCTGGGTGGCTCAGTCAGTTAAGTGTCTGCCTTCGGCTCAGGTCATGATCCCGGGGTCCTGGGTTGGAGCCCCGCATCAGGCTCCCTGCTCGGCGGGGAGTCTGCTTCTCCTTCTCCCTCTGCCCCTCCCCCTCCTCATGCGCGCACACACGCACTCTCGAAAATAAAATCTTTAAAAAAAAAGTTGTGGGATGCCATGTGGGCCTCAGGGTCAGAAACCAGTGGTCAAGTCCCAGCTCCACATTCATGAGCTGTGTGACTCAGCACACTGCTCAAATGCCCCCTGAATCTCAGAGTTCTCAGTGTTAACTAGGAACACCAACCCACCTGGAGGCAGTGTGAAAATTCACGATACTGCCCACGGTGCATGGCACAGAAGAGGCAATCAATCCATTGTGGCTCTCAGAAACCCTGAGCATCCCTCAAAGCAAGGCTAACAACATCGAACTATGTGAGGACCCCTGCTTCCTTCACTTCTCTGGCCTAGAGAGAACTAGGTATTAGCATCCTGTGCTGGAGGGACTCAGGATGACTGACCTATGACAGTGAGGAGCAAGGAAATGAGCCACCTCGCCTGAGCTGGGTCCCCCTAGTTCTACAACCTGCTGGAAAGCCAGTTAGCCCCCCGATGAGGCCACTGCCTCGACTCAGGGCACCCTCTCCCAAGCCATCGCCAGACCAATTCCAGGGCTTGGAGAAATGATCCACATCCCTCCACATCCCTCTGCCCCACGGCAAGCCCTGGCCCAAGAAAGGACAGGCCAACCCACCTGGGAACCGCTGACCTCCGCACTGTGGATGCCCGTGAGGGTGTCGATCAGGTTGTGCGCCTCGTCGATGAGCACCACCTGGCCCTGCAGCTGGATGCCCGCGGCCTGGCGGGTGGCCGCGTGCAGCAGCATCTGGTAGGGTAGCACCACGAGCTGGGGGGAGGAGGGGCCACCTGAGCAGTGGGGTGGGGGGGCTCCCTGCTCTGGCAGGTGTGCCCCACCTACTCTAAGTGCCTGGTGCGAACAGTTTTTAGTTCCCAGCCAGGATGTGCACAGGGACAGCTATAGCATGGTACTGTGCTTTTAGCAACAGACCCTTGTCTCAAGTTTTCTGTGGAACATCAAATATGAAACAGACAAAACTGGAGCCAGTCTGACTCTGACCGAACCAAGAGTGGGGGTGGGGAAAGGGGAGCAGAGAGGAGTGTGGAACCCCTGCTCAGCCTTATCCATACCCCCGAGGTAGCCCCCGAAGCACCCGAGATTCCTCAAAACACAGTGAACACCCCTGGTGTACTAGAAGGTAGCCCTGCATTCTGGTCCTAGAGCTGCTGCTTTCCCAGCTGTGTGACTCCGGGAAAGTCACTTAACCTTTCTGAGCCTCAGTTTCTTCGTGGGCAAAACAGACTTGATAAACTCTATCTCAAATGAGGGCTAAGGGCTAGAGGACGGGGGCAACAAAAATAAACACATTCTGTAAATTTTTAGGTGCTACTTGTGAGGACGATTTTCCAGTTAAAAGAATACTGATAACATGAAACTCCAGAAAACTGGAAACTTAAGGCCCAGCTTTAATCCTGGCTCCATTATCCACCTGCCGTGAGAAAACAGATAAATCATTTAGCCATTCTGGGCCTGTGTCCACATGTGTATGTATGGATAATACCTGCCTTTGCTTTTTCAGTGGGATACTACAAAGCAAAAATGAGGTGACAAGTGTCTCAAAAAGTTAAGATCATGAAAATCTCAGGACATCTTATCATATTTACACACAGGTATCTATGGCACTGATCAGGCGATGTGGCAGACAGACCCCATGAAGGGCGTGCAACAATGGTGGGGGCTGGGAAGGTTCTGGAACTTCCCTCTGAGCACCCATGCAACAGTTCAGGACAGTATACTAACAAGCATTTAACGGCTGTGTAAGATCAATACTAACGTTGTTCCCTGAATCTCTGAAAACCTACCTAATCTTTTCCTGCTTATATGGAATTCTCCACAAATGAAACCCTATTTCCAAAAGTCACTGGAATTAAGCAATAGCAAGAAGACAATAAAATCATACCAAATAACAATATTTTTGATCTGTCAAATGGGCAGTTTTTCTCTGTGTGTAAAGATGAGACTCAACATGGCAAGTCTAGAGAAGACAGTCTTCTCCCACACTGGTTCGTCTGAAAGGCCATTTGGAAACACATTTCTGTTCCACAGCACCCTGACTGCATCCTCTCAGCTTCCCGCTGCCCCGCGCCCCCAGACTCTGGTTTCTCTAGGACTGCACACCCCTTGCCAGTTCTTATGTGCTGTCCCCAGTAAGGTCATCTGTTCCTACAACCCAGAGCCACAGGGGACCGGGGGCTGCCCCCACCCCCACGCACTAGGACAGAGGGGGTGACAGGTCACCGGGGTGCTGTGTGCTGGTCAGTCCAACCACGGCCAGGGACATCCTCCCGAATTAAGAGGAATGAGGAAATCCCTCATGGCTGAGGCCACAGTTAAGAGCCAGGAGTTACTGCTCAACCCTCCAGGGTCTTTACCTGGGCTGCTGGAATGGCAGACCGGCTCCCGTAATAGGGACAGGCCCGAGCCTCCTTCCCCAGCGCCACCAACTGCTCAATGTCCTTCACCCCCACCAGGACCTGGTCTCGGAGGAGCTGCAGCTGCTCGTAGCCATAGAAGGGGCAGGTGGCCCGGCGCTCCTGCTTTCTCCTCTTGGGCTTCTCTTCCTCAGCTCTGCTCTTCTCTGAGGGGGCAAAGGCACAAGGAATGAGCCCTGTCCACGTGGCGGCAGTAAGTCCATAATGTCAAGACCCAATTCCATGGGGTGGGGTCTAATAAACCCTTCCCGGTACTGCTTAGGATGGTCTCACCATTCTGGCATTTAACTTTGTGTTCTCTAGAAAAAGCCAGTGAAAACATCTCAGAGCCAGGGTTCTGGACTAGACACTGACCCAAAAAGCAAAACGCCTTTTCCCAAGGAGACGATCTTAAGGAAGGACCCAGCTGCTTGCTCTGCCCTCACTGCTGCTTAAGACACCATCTCCCAGGTCCCTGGTCCGCTTCCGGCCCGCTCCCCACCCCTTCTCAGCACTGCCCAAGGCTACACGACCGTCCCAGAGGCTCTCTGCACAGCTCCAGGTGCTGGGGGCTACCGCGTTTGCTTCTCTGCATCTCCATGCAGCGGTCATTGATGAGCTGCGCAGAACCCAGGGTTTTCACATCTTCGTTTATACAAAGATTCTAGAAGACAGAAGACAAAGAGAGAGCCACAGCAATGGCTACACAATATACAGCAACCCTCCGGGGCCTGCCCAGCCCTGCCAAGAACCAGAAGAGGCCAGTCCTCCCATTGCACGGCCTGCCCTGGATCCACCACCCTTCCATGCCCAGGAGAGGGAGGAGGACGGCACCCAGGCCAAGACGCAATGCCTCTGCGTACCTGCCGAGAGCCGAGGGAGACAAGCCGGGTGTCCTTGCCAAAGGGGCTCCTCTGTACCTCGTGCACAAACTGAGCCAGCTGGGAGTGCGTCCGACTGCAGTAGTAAATCTGCTCCGAGGAGAAGCACGGGATTTCAAAGAGGAGACTACAACATCTCCATTCTCTGCATATCAAGAAATACATGGCCTAGCAGGCTGAGGGACTGGGGAGAGTGGCCACAAATACACACACCTAAAGCAACGGGACTCCGCCCCACAGCAGATCTCAGCTAATGCAGGGCCCAGGCAGTCCCCACCTCCCCCTCAGCTCCAGAAGTTTACAAGAACACCCACAACATGGAGCTCCTGCCATCAGTCCTGCTCAGCCGAGAATCCAGCCACTTCACAGGGCTTGGTCCTCTTAGGACAGGCTGCCTCCCCGTGCTGAGGTTCCCAAGTGGGGAAGATTAGATTCTGGGGGGGGGGGGCATGTCGGGGGTGGGCCGTCCACACACACCACCCAAAGGGCTTGGGGGCCAGGCTCGCAGTAGGGTGGAGGGAGGCGGTGAGCTGAGCTCTATGCTCCCGAGATTCCGGAGAGCAAGACAAGGAAAAGAGACATGGGGGAAATACCTTTCAGCAGAGAAAACAGAAGTCTTACACAAATAAACCAAATGTTTTTAAACGTGACAGGTCTCAGAACCCTTCGTACCTCAAAGCGCTCCGTGCCCATGAAAACACAAACAAGAGGAGAGGGAGCCAAAGGGCAGGGTGCTCTTGCTCAGGCCTGCCCCCACTCCCCCCACCCCCGCAGACAGACACCACTGGTCCGTGGGCCTGCCAAGTGAGCCCCTCAACACCGAGGTCTGGGGCAGAGTCCGGAGGCCGGAGGTTCTTTGCCGATGACAGAGTGAGAAGCAGCCGGGGAGGGGACACAGAGCCCTGGACTCAGGCCCACCAATCCCAGAATCCCCAGGACGCAATGTCTCACCTTAGTTACATGTTCCTCCTCCGGGCCATCCTCATCCTGGTCCACTCTGAGACAGAAAGTGACACGGAAACTCAGAGAGCTCAGCTCAACTAAAAGCACACTTACCAGGCATCTACTGAGAGCCAGCTGCTCGCCCTGGACCTAAACCAGGAAGATGCAGTTCCCGTCATCGGAGGCCAGCACAGCTGAGGCTGGAGCGCCGAGCCAGAGGGAGACGGACACATCCCGGCAACAAAGTTCCACCAAAACAAGGGCTCGCTCGCTTGCTCACTTGGTCAGAGACGTGCCAGGCTAACACCAACCCGTCCTCCCATTCCCATCCACGAAGGCAATGAGAAAGGGGTACAGTATGCCCGAAGCCGAGGTTCGGTGTCTGACTCCGTCCTTACTGTGCGCCCACCAGCAAACTGGAGTTCTCTCGGCTCCCCACAGAACTTTGTTCTTACCACCTCAGAGCCGTGGACATGCTGTTCTCTTTACCTGGAAGGTGCTCTCCCCTTACTTCCTCTTTTACCTAGCTAACTCTGTCAACCTTGAGAGGCCCACATAAACACTGCCGCCTCTGGGCAGCCTTCCTCAACCTCCCTAGAGGCTCAGCTGGCCCCTCAACACACTGCTGTGGCCCCCACACCTGTTCTTTGTAATACCCATCTCGTTCAAAATCACTTATTCTTGGTCTGTCCACCTCTCCAGACTCATGTCCACAGGCAGGACTCAGGGATGTCTTGCTTCTGTGAGGGCCAGGGGGTCCCACCCCAGGGCTTGGGACGCAGCAGGAATTCCATGCACATTTCCTGAGGGAAGTCACGACTGACTGACTAAAAGATGCTGTCACCCAGAACCAGACAAACCTCTTCTCTCCTTGGCACCTTACCCTTCCCAGCAATGAATGAAGAGCCCACGTGCACTGAGGAACTGGGAGGGAGGTCAAGCCTGCATTACAAGGCTGAATGGGTAGTCAACATTGTTAGTCTAGACTCCCCAGAAAACACAAAATCTTTTACAGATACACTACCCCCTACAGGGCCATCACTGGGATTCTTTCTGTTCACCTGGCAAATTAATTTTTTTTTTAAGGCAGAAATACTAATTCCCTTGAGCAATCAGAAGTAGAGTTATTTATAGGGTTGCCTTTCCGGTCAATAAATAAATAATTGTTCAGTCCACTTTATCTGACGGGCCTTGATTTAAATCACATACAAGGTAAGCAAACGCAACAGGATCTAGATAAGAAGCTGGATGTGTGAAGAAATGAAGAGCAAAAATTTTATATTCAGAACTGGCTGGGGCGCCTGGGTGGTTCAGATGGTTAAGCGTCTGTCTTCGGCTCAGGTCATGATCTCAGGGTCCTGGGATCAAGCCTCACCTCGGGCTCCCTGCTCAGCAGGGAGTTTGCTTCTCCCTCTCCCTCTGCCACTCCCCCGCTTGTGCTCACTCACTCTCGCTCTCGCTGTCAAATAAATAAATAAAAGCTTTAAAAAAAAAAAAAAAGGAACTGGTTGTGTTCTAAGAGAGGCTCCTGTCTCTCGAAATGCCAGGGCACGGGAGCTGTAGAAGTTCATCTGCAGGATTAATGGCTCAGGCCCAGGCCCTGAGTAGCACTTTGTTTCTCTAATGGTCACAAACTCCACTCAAGTTCTTTCTCTTGTCCCCAGGGGGGCTCTCGAGGAGAAGTACAAGAGCGGGCAAGTGACCTTGGAGGCAGGTGGCAAAGGGTTTATGAGCACTCACTGCTCCTACCTCCCCGAGGCGGGATGCCTAAAGAGGTCTGGCCATCTCAGCCCTGGGCAGGGTCAGAAGTTTTGGTTCTAATCCAGGTCCTGAAATCTGTGCTTAAGGGCAGGCCTCTAGCACCAACAAAGAAAAGCCCAGGGCCAGATGATTTCACTGGCGAATTCTACCAAATAAAGAAATGATGCCAACCCTTCTCCAACTCTTCCAAAAAACTGAAGAGGAGAAACACTCCCAAACTCATTTTATGGGGCCAGCATCAGTCCAATACCAAAGCCAGGTAATGACACTACAAAGAAAGGGAACTACAAGCTAATATATATGCCCGATGAATATAGATGCAAATGTTCTCAACAAAATATTAACAAACTGAATTCAATAGCACACTAAAAGGATCATGCCCCATGATCAAGTGGGATTCCTGCCTAAAATACAAGGATGGCTCAACATACGCAAATCAGTAAATGTGACACATCAATCACAGAATGATAGATAAGTCATATGATCATCTCAGTAACACAGAAAAAACAAATGACAAAATCCAACACCTGTTGATGATAAAAACTCTTGACGTATGAAGTACAGAAAGAACGTACCTCAACAGAACAAAGGCCATCTGTGACAAGCCCGCAGTTAACGTCATACTCAGCAGTGAAAGCTTTTCCACTAAGACTAAGACAAAGGTGCTCACTTTTACCTCTTCTCTGCAACACAGTGGAAGTCCTAGCCAGACCAATCAGGCAAGAAAAAGGAAGAAAAAGCATCCAAACGGGAAAGGAAGAAGTAAAACTACCTGTTATCAAGTGATATGATTATACATAGGAAAAGCCTGAAGACAGCACCAAAAAACTGTCAGGACTAACAAATTCAGTGAAGTTGCAGGATACAAAATCAACACACAAAAGTCAATTTCATTTCTGCATACTAACAATGAACTATCTGAGAAAGAAATAAAGAAAACAGTCTAATTTACAATGGCATCAAAAACAGTAAAATACTTAGGAGGTACAGACTTACACATTCAGAACTACAAGACTAATGAAAGAACCTGAGAAGACCCAAATGACAGAATGTCCCATGTGTGCAGGTCAGAAGAATTCATGTTGCTAAAATGTCCATTCTACTGAAATCCATTTATAGATTCAGTGCAATCCTGTATCAAGAGTCCAACAATATTTTTAACAGGTATAGAAGAAAAAAATCCTAAAAATCATATGGAACCACAAAAGACCCCAAATAGCCAAAGCAATCTTGAGAAAGAACAACAAAGCTGGCGGCATCAATGTTCTGATTTTGAACAGTATGATAATCAAAAGAGTACAGTACTGGCATAAAAACAGTAGAGTGATCAAAGCAGGATGGTACTGGCATCAAAACAGACATATAAGACCAAGGGAACAGAAGAGAACCCAGAAATAAGCCCATGTGTATACAGTAAAGTAGTATTTGACAAGGGAGCCAAGAACACTCAATGAGGAAAAGACAGTCTCCAATACGGTGCTGGAGAAACTGAATTCAATAGCACATTAAAAGTGACATGAAAAAGAATGAAACTCAATCCCCACCCTACACCACTCACAAAAACTAACTCAAAATGGATTAAAGACTTAAATGTAAGAACTAAAATCATAAAACTCCTAGAAGAAAACATAGGGAAAAAGCTTTATGACATTGGTCTTCACAGTGATTTTTTCGAAACGACATCAAAAGTACAAGCAAAGCAAAAATAAACAAGTGGGACTATGACAAACTAAAAAGCTTTTGCACAGCAAAAGAAACAATCAACAAAATGGAACAGGAACCAAAAAATGGGAGAAAATATTCGCAAACCACCTATCTGACGATAAGGGGCTTATAACCAAAATATGCAAGGAACTCCTACAACTCAACAGCAAAAAAGCAAATAATCCGGTTAAAAATGGGCAGAGGAACTGAACAGACATTTTTTCAAAGTCATACAAATGGTCAACAGGTACATGAAAAGATGCTCAACATCACTGATCCCCCAAGGAAATGCAAATCAAAACCGCAATGAGCCATCACCTCACACCTGTTAGAATGGCTACACTCAAAAAGATAAGTGTTGTCAAGGGGCGCCTAGGTGGCTCAGTTGGTTAAGCGGCTACCTTCCACTCAGGTCCTTCCACTCAGGTCGTGATCTCAGGATCCTGAGGTGGAGCCCCATGTCGGGCTCCCTGCTCAGTGGGGAGCCTGCTTCTCCCTCCTCCCCACCCCACCCCGTGCACACAGGCGCACAAACACGCACTTGCACGCTCTCTCTCTTGAATAAATAAATCTTAAATATATATATATATATATATAAGTATTGGCAAGAATGTGGAGAGAAGGGAACCCTGTGCCCTGTGGGCAGGAACGTAAATTGGTGCAGTCATTCTGGAAAAAAGCATGGATGTTCCTCAAAAATTAAAAGTATTAGGTAGCATATGATCCAGCAAGCCCACTTCTGGGTATGTACCCAAAGGGAACGCAATCCGTATCTCAAGGAGATCCCTGCACCTTGCTGTTCACGGCAGCAACTAATGAAAACAACCCAAGTATCCACAGATAGATGAATGGATAAAGAACAAGTCACACACACACAGCGTAAAACAGCCATAAAAAGGCAGGCAACTCTGCCATTTGTGACAATACAGATGAACCGTGAGGGCATTATGGTAAGTGATGTAAGCCGAAGGACAAATTTTGTGTCATCTCGTGCGGAATCTAAAAAAACCAAACTCCTAGAAACAGAGAGTAGATTGCTAGGGGCTGAGGAGTGGGGTGAAAGCAGTCTAAGGGTACAGATCTTTTGAAAATGACTATCGTTAACACTATATTGTGTATTTGAGAGGTGCCGAGAGCACATTTTTAAAGAAATGTTACCTACGTGAGGTGATGGTTCTGTTAAGTAACCTCATCACAGTGATCATTTTGCTATACATACGCATATCAAACCATCAAGGTATGCATCTTAAACTCACACAATGTTATACCCCTATTATATCTAGAATAAAGCTGAGGAGAAAAGAAAGAAGTCAGGGTAGCCGGGACCCTGAGCGTCTGTGGGCGAGGTTAGAGAGATTAGAAGGTGCACGGCAGACAGGCTGTGAAGGTTTTCTCCGTCACCAGTCAACGGAAGGTTTGAGACCCCGGAGTTACACTCTACACACATGGTCACCACAGTGTCAATGACAACATGGGACACATGGGACCTGGAGTCACCTTTAGAGGAGCAGGAAACACCCCTTCCAAGCTGGGAGCCCAAGAGGAATGACCTCTAGATGCACTCATGCCTTGGGGAGAGCCACTGACGTCAAAATGATGTTAACGCCCTTCGTAATGCCCAAATCAGGTCACTCCTTTGCCTGCCAAAGGCCCACAGCCCCGCGACACGGAGAGAGATACCTAGACCCCTCAGTGGAACTCTGAGGCCCAAACAAACTGACAGCTGCCTCTTCTTTGCCTCTCTTCCTCATTCACTCTTAGCCCGTGGGCCTTCTTCTCTGTGTCCCTCAAACCCACCAAACTTGCTCCCCTTTCCAGACCAGGGCACCAGCAGGCCTCTGACTAGACCTCTCCTCCCAGGTCTTCCCACTGCTCTTTCTCACCCTTCACCACCTCCTCAGAGGTCTCTCCTGGCTTCACCTAGAGGGGCAACCCCACACTCTACCCGCTGCACCCAGTTTCATTTTCCTCCTGGGCAAATGTGCTCACCTCACGCAGTGACCACCTGTGTGTTTGTCCTACCACCCGCCGCCCCCAACCACATGCAAGCTCTCCATGGGCAGGGGGCATAGCGGGCGCACTTGGCATCTGGAACCATGCCACACCTAGAGCAGACCCTCAAAGGTCAGATGTGCAACTGAAGCGTGCATGGAAAAGGAGGCTCCCGCGAGGGGAAGCATGACCTCTGAAAAGCCTCGCTGTCATCTTCAGGGTCTTCTACTCCACCCAGCAGCTTACTGCTCACAAATCAGAAACCCAGACAGAAACCAGACAGTGGAAAGAGCAACTCAGGCTAAGGATACGTTGATGGTTTACGTCCTAAAGCTCGCACGGTGTAGTCCGGGGGCGAGGAGCACGTGACTAGGGTCGGGCGGGCTGGGTGCAGTCCCTGCCCCTCGGCCTCCTAGCCCCTTGCTGGCCGTGACGGGGAGACACAAAGCTTGCGAGGCTACCAGAGTTCACTCACACGAACCCGATGCCGGCAGAGGGCACGGCTGGCTACTGCCGTCACCACCAGTGACACACGCTCAGGAGGAGCCTGGCCGAGAGCAGGGCCAGGTGGCCGGCATTGCATCCCTTCGGATGCCTCGTGAGGGACAAAGCAGCCTGCCCCTCTCCGGGCGCAGGAGCCGCTCCCGCGGGAGGCCCCATGTCCACGGAGGCGGGAGCGGCAGGGGAGGGAGAAGCACCGTCTTACCCGCCAGCCGCTCCCTTCTCCTCGTCGCTCTCATACTCGGCGAGGACCAGGTCCTCCTCCCCACACGCTGGCTGCTCTGGCAGCTCAGCGGCTGCCCCTGCCGCCAGCGCCTCCCTGCTGAGGCGGAGGACGCGCTCCATCTCTTCTTCCTCTTGTCTCTGTGTAGGAGCACCGCAAGTGGGGAGAGAAAGCAATCTCAGCACGAGCGCCCGCGCCCCCACCCGAGTTTGCCTGCGAGTGGCTACCACACGCCATCACCACGGGCCTCGCTTCCCTACCGGTGACTATACCCCAGGTATCAGTACCTCAGCTCAAGCTGCAGCTACTGGACGATGAGAACTTAGCCAGAGGGGGGCAGGGCCAGCAGACTGACGTCCTGGCCACTCCCCCACAGGAGCGGCACCGTAAGGCCCCACACAGCGTGACAACAGTGCCTGCACCCCGTCCCTGCCACCCCCGCAGAGGACACTCACCACGCGCTTGGCTGCATACTTGAGCTGTGCATTTTGACGGATCTGCTGCAGGCGTTCCTCTCGCTTCTTCCTCCTGACCTGCTCCTCCTAGAGGGTGGAGTAGCCAGAAAGGAAACTCCTGCCCAAGTCCCCAACCATGCCCTTCTTGAAGAGTCTGGGGCTCAGCCCAGGGCCTCCATACACGGGGCGGGGCGGTTCTTCCTTCCGGGGACTGCAGCATCCCTGACCCTCAGTGTGGGAGGTCTGCACACTCCCTCCCAAAGCAACACACTCTCGATCAAATTCATTCCCTTAATGGGAGTTTGCAGCCACTGAACCGCGTTGCCAATGGCAACAGTGAGGCTCCTTTCCCAGGTAGGTAATGAATGGAACTGTCCACCCCGTCTAGAGAAGGCCTGTTGACATCAGCTTTATTTTTTTTTTTAAAGATTTTATTTATTTATTTGAGACAGAGAGAGAGAGAGAGAGAGAGAGAGAGAAACAGCATGAGAGGGGGAAAGGGTCAGAGGGAGAAGCAGGCTCCCCGCTGAGCCGGGAGCCTGATGTGGGACTCGATCCCAGGACTCCGGGATCATGACCTGAGCCAAAGGCAGTCGCTTAACCAACTGAGCCACCCAGGCGCCCTGACATCAGCTTTAAAAAGACAGCGCGGGTGCAGTACCACAGGCTCAAGAAGGAACCGCAAAGGCAAAGGACATGCTAACTCCCACAATCAACCCCAAATTACCAGCCAAGCCCTGTTTCCTGGATGGCTCCCACTTCTGTCACCCCACAGCTCACCTTCAGTCGGTCCACCAGGTCCCTTTCTTCTTTCTTCTGCACAAACTGAGTCACCCAGTCAGGCTCTCCCACAGGCCTCAGGGTGTCTGGGGTCTCTTCGCAGGAGGATGAGAGAGACAGGGGCTGCTCCTGCCCGTCACTTAAGGGGACAGTTCCAGTTTCAAGGAGACGTGCCTCTTCTTGATGTTTCTTCTGCTCAAAGTCACGGAGCCAGGAAAGGGCCCCACAAATAAGACTTAAAGATTTTCCCTACAGGAAGAAAAAGGTCTTCAAAAACGAGAACAAAAACCAAAGCTTTCCAAATGACGTTTCCCATTTTAATAAAGCCTTCAAGGAAGGTCTAACTTTAAATATTAGAAGGCACTCTAAGACCAACCTGGGAAAGGGCAGGAACGGAATTAGCAAAAGGATAGCCAGGAAAAACAGGAAAAAAGGAAGAAAGAAAAATAAAGTTCTTGGTTTAATTATATAGCTCACTGTTCCTAAGATAATTTAATGTGGCTTATCAGGTTACATATAAGTACTGCAAGTTAACATAATTAGAAGCTGAGGAATTAGATAAAAAGCCCCAAAAAAGAAGGCCAAAAAGTACATGGCTTGAAACCCTATATACTCGCTAAGGGGGAGCCACATTTGGCTCTATGCTTTAATACAGCCCATGTGCAGACAGAACATGATCGGTCCCATGAGTCCCAGTCTTCAGAAACTTTTTAAAGCAAACTAATTGCTCTAGAGAACACAATTCTTAAATCAAAGACTAGAATTTTCCCTGTGGGTCCTTGCTGTGGGTTGAATTGTGTCCCCCCTCAAATTCGTATGTTAAGTCCTAACAACCCTGTGTCTCAGAATGTGAACTTATTTGGAAATACGGTCACTGCAGATGCATGTGGTTAAGAAAGACGGGGGCCCTGATCCACTAAGACTGGTGTCCTTACCCAAAGGGGAGATTGGGCCACTGAGGCATGCCCAGAGGGAAGGAGGTGCGTTAAGACACAGGGGAGGATGGCCACCTACATGCCGAGAGGGCCAGAACAGAGTCTCCTCTCTCGGCCTCCAAGAGAACCCTCCCTGCCTCACAACACTGAGTCTGCACTTCTGGCCTCCAGAGCTGTGAAGAGTAAGCTTCTGTGGTTTAAGCCCCCAGCCTGTGGAACTCTGTTACAGCAGTGGGAACACTAACACAGTCCTTCTGGGGCAAGAAAAAAAATGAGGCGTGTGTGTATGTGTGAGACGAGAGAGAGAGAGAGAGAGAGAGAGAGAGAGAGAGAGAGAGAGAGAGAGAGAGAACGAACACACCTTCCTCAGAGCTGCTGCAAGCATTAAGTAAGTTCACACCCATAAAAGCTAATACCTACTCCAGGATTAGAACAATACCTGGTACATAAGTGAGCAACAGGAGCTAATTTTTCTTGCTATTATTAAGTAATAATAGTAAGATTATTACGTCCTGCAATAAGAACCTATTTCATGAAATTCTTAAAAGGCCCTATGACAGAATGGCACTTCTGAAGAATGAATAGATGACATATCTTTGGAAAAAGCCCCATATAGATCATTTCTCTCAGCTTTTGATAAATAAATACACAATGGCAAAGACTTCCGAACAGCACTCCCCAGCAGCAGCTGGACAGCAGCCATTCTGTACGCCAGTAAAATGGGGAGCCACCGGCTTTAGCCATCACCAAGCTAGGGGCCGGGGAGCCATCCCCCTAAAACAGTGACCCAGGGTCGGACACCCGGTCAGAGAGCCAGCACCCTCCACTGGAAAGTGAGCTGAGGAAGTTCCCAAGGGAACGTCAAAGTTATCTTCCCACAATTGTGAACACACTCTATCACAAAGAGAAAGGAGGACTGAGGCCTGCAATTCTATATCCTCTAGTAAGACAATAAAAATTTAAACCGGAAAATGTTAAAAGGATGTATGACCCAATGCTTGCCTCAGTTAATAAAGTACCCACAACATACCTAGCTTTGAACAATGTTATTTCGTGGGGTACCACCCAAGATATCACAGTTATACAAACACCCACACTGTAACAAGCACTGGACTTGATGTTGGGAAGGAGAATTCTCTAGAAAATGCCCACAGGCACAAACTTAACACACGAACCGCGGGGCGTCGCATTTCCCTGGGAAGCGTGGGCTCCAGGCGGAGAGGTCAGCACAATGTGGCGGACTCATGAAAGGCTAAAACGGGGAGGGACAAGAGAAGCAGGCATCATCAGGAGCCAAGTGGGGAGCTTGGCCACTGAGGTAGAGGTCTAACAGGCGAGGCACCGCGTGTAATGGTATGGCACCCCTGTGTGCAAGGGGGCACCAACGACAGGAGGAAGGACTTACTAGAGGCAGGATTTAGACAATGTCAGAATGGGACGGTAACTGAAGTCACAAAGACAGGAGGCCCTGGAACCAAGAACATCGACAAGAAAGGGCTGAGCAGAGGAACGGGATGCATGGAACAGGCAGAGGGTTGAGATGGGGACCTAAGCCTTCAGATTAAACAGGGCAGAATGAACACATGCTCTTCTGTGTCCTCTTCTGAAACATGCTAAAATTACACCAAAGGAATAAGAGAGGCTTAAAACCCACAGAAACGAAGAAAGTGGAGGAAGGGAAAGTAACAGGTTTTAGGAGAAATGGAAAGCAGAGCACTGGACTGAGAAGAGTAAAGGACGCTAAGCCCAAGTGCCTGCAGAGATCCCCCCGATTCCGGCTCACAAGCCCCAAAATTGCCAAGGATGTCCCCTCCCTGCAGAAGACAGGATGTGTACCCTCTGGAGGAGCTGAGCCAGGAGGGCTCTGGAGATGGCGGGTCAAGTGAAGGGTGCGGAAGAGGGCCGGACTCAAAGCAGGACACTAAGCGAAAGCCCATGCACCTGAAGCAGCTTTCCCAGAACACCCTCAAGAATAAGGGCCATCAGGCTGGGCCCAGAAGGCAAGAGTTTAAAGGAACCTTCTCTGGAAAAACTGGACGGCTCGAGAGAAATCACACAGTGACTGATCACTGGAGGCCCCAGCAGAGAGGCTAGCCCATCAGTCCCCAGCCAGCCTGCCCCACAGCCTGTCAGTCAGCCCTGTGGTGGCTTTTTCTTGAACACCAGCAGAAGACAGCCAAGGATCACCAGACATTTGAGGAAAGCCTCTCAACAAAACACAGACCCCAAAATGGGGGAGGGAGAAGGATGGGCAATGAGATGATGCAGGGTAGAAAAAATTCAAAAATGCTACTTTAATCGGTATCCTCAGAAAGATATTATTTCCATGAAACAAGAACAGGATGCTATTTTTAAGAAGCAGAGAATAAGAAAGAGTTCTTAAATATTAAAGACAGAATAAGAGAAATACACTGAATAGAAAGACTGGACAACAAAGTCAAAGGAATCCTGAAGAAGCAGAATTCAAAGTGAAACAAAACAAGAACAAACCAATATGCCCAAAGAGACAAGCAACTAGAAGAAAACATAATCGGGGCGCCTGGGTGGCTCAGTCGGTTGGGCATCTGCCTTTGGCTCAGGTCATGCTCCCGGGGTCCTCGGATCGAGTGCTGAATCAGGATCCCTGCTTGGCGGGGAGTGTGCTTTTCCCCCTCCTTCCTGCTCATGCTCTATCTCTGTCTCTCTCAAATAAATAAATAAAATATCTTAAAAAAAAAAAAAAAGGAAGAAGAAGAAGCCTGGGTGGCTCAGTCGTTAAGCGTCTCCCTTCGGCTCAGGTCATGATCCCAGGGTCCTGGGATCGAGCCCCGCCTCGGGCTCCCTGCTCTGCGGGAAGCCTGCTTCTCCCTCTCCCACTCCCCCTGCTTGTGTTCCCTCTCTCTCTGATTCTCTACCTATCAAATAAATAAATAAAATCTTTAAAAAAATAAAAGGGGTATATTTTATTATATGTCAATTATACTCCATAAAGTTGATTTTTTTAAAGGACAGAAGAGAAATCCTAGCATTACAGTTGTGAAGTAGATCTTAACAGTAAACTGAGAACTTCAAGAAGGAAATCTCCACGGTACAATAGAGTTAGTAACTACTACAGATTGAATTATGTCCCTTCACAAATTCATATGTTTCAGCCCTAACCCTCATGTGACTATTGGAGGAAGGGCCTTCAAGGAAGGGATTACAGTTAAATGAGGTCCTAAAGGTAGAGCCCTGATCTGATAAAACTGGTGTCCTGATAAAAGGGGGAGAGATACCAAACCTCTTTCCACCATGTGAGGACACAGTGAGAAGGGGGCCCCCTACAAGCCAGGAAGAGTCCCTGCCAACAGCCAGAGGCTGCCCAAACCTTGCACTTCCAGCCTCCCAAACTAAGAAATAAATTTCTGTCCTCTGAGCCACCCAGTCTGTGGTATTTTGTTATGGCAGCCTGAGCAGCCAGACTAAGCTATAATTTTATGGACGGAGTATCATACAGACAGGCCCCTGGATGGTGTGAGAAAGTGGTGTAGGTATATTAAAAACTAGACAAACTTTAAAAGGCAATTATCAACTCTGGGAAAACAAAAATTATTCAAGAAGAAAACCCATAATCAGAGCATACTGATTTAGCAGAGGCTAAAATTTTCCTAACTACACCGGGAGGATGGGGCGAGGGAAGGAAAGGAGACAGTAAGAGAGCTACATCTTAGCTATCACAAAGGACGGCACAATCACTATAATGAATAAATCAAGAAACAGCACCAAGCTTACAATTTCAGATATGCTATGCAAGTGTATTTCTTAGGAACCAGTTAAAAGAATTAAAAATACCTGCCCAAAGAACCAAGTTTGATAAACTTTTTAACTTTACAAATGACACGCATTATTTTTGATTAAATTTTTTATGACTCTAAACGAAGGAGAGGGATATGTTCAACGATACTAACTGCTGCAGAGAGATCAAATAAGGACTCGAAACACCCAAATCTACTAATCAGGAAATCACTGCTGAGACGAAAAACCAGTCTGCGAGGATTGGTGGGGGAAGAAGGCCTGCTGCACTGGGTTAGAAGCCTCCTGTGGGCAGAACTCACCAAGCTCCACGGGATGACAGGGACACAGAGGAGGACCTCCAGGAGACCGCGGCCTGGCTGGGGGATCTTCGCATCAACACACGCAGCTCACTACCACATAGTACTTTCTAAAGGAGAGGCGGGGACTGCTCACTACAGCCCTAATCTTCCTCCTGCCCACCTTCTAATAAATCCCTCCATCATTCCACTCCTGGAAGGAAAAACTCAGGGGCCTTTGGTTGGATCTCTCCAGCACTCAGTAACTTTGTTCCTGACAACGAAACCAGTATGTTTAATCTGTGAAAAAGCCAAGGTAATTTGTTTCTCAACATCAAAGCAGTTGTGTGTCCAGAACAATTTGCAAAGCTTTGGTGCTATAGGTCTTGGTTTCTACAGGCATTCAAATTCTCCTTTGCCTTCAGTGTAACTGTTCTCAGACCCTGGGGCTGCATTTAACAGAGGAAGTGACTGTTACTCAGAAAGATAAACCAAGGGAACAACTTCGCCCAACTTCAAACCATGAAAACTTCTGCCTAGGTTAACAAGCATGCTAGGTGGCTTCTGCAGTGCCATAATCAGGGTCTCTCAGGACCCTCTTGGCCCTTGAAGAGTCATACTTACAGTGCCAGTCGGACTCTCAAATATTCCAATCTTGCCAGCCTCCAACACCTGATATAGCTCTGCCATGAAGTCTTTCTGGATGGAATAGGGTGTGAAGGGAAAAGGGAAATGGATACCACCAACCTCCTGGGTTTTATTAGCCATGGTCCTAGGGGAAAAAAAATAGGCCTGAAATCTAGAACAGTTCCTAAGACCAGTCTCAATACTAGATACAGAATTTCTCCTCAGGTTGTACACTTTTTTGCAAGCAGAGACCGTGTTCTCCCCAAGGTGCACGCCCTCATGAAGCCATACTCAGCTCATGCAACCCATCTTAATGACATTTATCAGAAACGGCTATGCAGAATGCAGCCCAGCAGAGCCCTGAAACAGAAACCGCCCTGCCATTTTACCTGGGATTCTTCTGCTTCTTGGACACCCTTCTAATGCCTCCAGGAAAGGTGTAAAGACTTCCTCTCGAGGTGTGCCCCTGAGGTCAGGGGTGTTGCTCCCGACTAGCTGTGCAGCACAGTTCTGCCCATGTCCACAGCACAGCCTTTGCCTGGCAAAGCCGCCTCACTTAATCCTGCTGCCAAGACCTGTAAAAACACAGGCAGAGAATCACCAGTACAGTTCTTTACGTGGCACAGGTGCACACATACATCTGTATTTCATAGGGATCTTTAGTTTGCTTCTTTGTTCATCCTAGCCTCCGTTTCCAGTATAAACCAGAGCCTCCTCCTAAAGCCTTCCCAGCCTCAAGAAATAAGAGCTTTCTGTCTGGTTGCAGACTGGGAGAGCTCTCCTGACAGGGACTAAGCCCTGGCTGGAATTCCAGAGCTCCCCAATACTGAGACCATAGCATTTCTCTTTCCTTGCCAGGCCAAGGTCTAAGAAGAACTTCTCAGCTCCATGTTTTATCTTTTTTCCCCTCTTCTGAACCAAATTTCTCTAAGATAGCTTCTCCATACCCTTTCTTCCTTTAGATTTTTTTTTTTAATCTTTATTTTAAGTAGGCTCCATTCAATGTGGGGCTTGAACTCATGACCCTGAGATCAGGAGTCACTTGCTCAACTGACTGAGCCTGCTAGCCGCCCCAACCCTTCCTTCCTTTCATTACCATGTGGAGGACTGACCCTTCCATTCTGGTTCCCACACTCTCTTTGGAAGTCACTGCTCCAACCTATTTGGCAAGCCCATCTCTTCTAAGTACAAGTACTAATCAGTCTGAAATCCACTTAGAATCCTGCCACACGACTGGCCTCAGTAAGACTACTGACAATGTCAATACATTTATGAAGGGAAAGGTAGCTGCCATGACGTTCATCCAGTTAATAGTTTAGGAGCACCTAACAGGACGACAGAGGTGAAAAACTCTAAGGGTGACTATTAAAAACTAGGACCATTCAATACTGAGAGGGAGGCATAGAATCAAAAAAAAAAAAGGAAGAAAAGAGGAAGGTGTCTAACAAATTTTGATCACCTAGTATGTGTTCAACACCCTACAGGCCTTTTTACTATTATTATCCCAGTTAACCTGTACAACACTATAAGGACACAGTTGTTGGGTAATCATGCTTCCAGGCATTAAATAATTTTCAAGGGCAAAGTTAACAAGAGAAAAACCAGGGATCCACACCAAGGTCCATATGGCTCTCTTTTAGTCAGATTCACCTCGCAAGAGATAATCAGCAGAGGCAGAAGGGAGATCTAATGAAAATATACATACTGAGAAATTATGCCAAATCTGCGAAAACCTACAACAGAAGCCACTGACAGAGTGGGATTTCTTGCAGACTACAACTACAAAGTAATCCAGATCCTAAGAGAGCTCCAAGAAATTCCCCACGAAGTAAACACCCACAGAATGCCCTTCTGCTGCTCAGTCACATGCCAGATGGAGCCACTCACTGACCTCCTGCGCTTACTCATAGCTTCTGCTTACCCCAAACTTTGGCTGGCACAGGGCATCTTCAGCGCCCTCTACCTTTGAGTTTGCCTGGCAAATGATGGACATTTAGGACTCAGCCTTCTCAGAGAAGCCTCCCCCTCTATTTGGCCACCCTATTCGGGTCAAATACCACTCCCTATCCAAACACACATACACCACCCTGCTTGAAGTCACTCTTTTGTCTCATTACCCTGTATTTAATTTCTTCGCAGCTCTTAGCACTAACTGAACTTAATTTATAATCCTTTCATACCAGAATATACATGGCATAAGAGAAGGAACCTTGTCTGTCTTGTTCTTCCCTGCCCCCAGCACCAGAATAGGTACTTTGGCACCTAGCAGGCATTCAAATAAATTTTGATGAAATGAATGAATAGCCAGCTTGATATGGTGGCTGTAGGTAGAGGTTTCTGTTCTTCAGAGGCATGGGCAGAGGAGGTCCCACAACTAAAATATCTAGTCCAAGGGCCAGTTCTTTAATGGTTTCCAACTTTCATATAACCTCACAGCAACCCTGTGTGATATTTTTATTAGCTCTATTTTATAGATGAAAACACTGAGACTCAGAAAGGTTGAGACTTGACCAGTCACTCAGCAAGCGCTTGAACCCAAGACTTGAACCCCCATCTGCCAGACCTCCAAGCCCCTGGGTTTTACAGTTCATCCCTCTTTCTCCCACCAGGGCAAGCCTACTGAAAAGAAAGACTTGGTTACTAAACTTCAGAATGACGACATGAAACAGTATAGAAGAAAAGTAATTATTTCACCTCCCTGTGGGTGGTAATTATGGATCTCATTATTCCAAAAGCAGTACAAGCTAAATCACAAGTTAAAGAAGTATTTGTAGGGCGCCTGGGTGGCTCAGTTGGTTAAGCGACTGCCTTCAGCTCAGGTCATGATCCTGGAGTTCCTGGATCGAGTCCCGCATCGGGCTCCCTGCTCAGCGAGGAGCCTGCTTCTCCCTCTGGCCCTCTCCTCTCTCATGTACTCTCTCTCTCATTCTTGCTCTCTCAAATAAACAAATAAATCTTTAAAAAAAAAAAAGTATTTGTATAAATGCCTGAATAGTGGATTCACTAAGTGCTATTCAGGACATTTGGTCTAAGTTTTTCTCACCTCTTCAGGTTGGTTGTGTGGAGAACGCACAAGTTCTCCCTAGAATTCCTCACCAGTGCTAAGGCATACACCATACACTTATTAAATGAGATAAAATACATGAAAGCATCTCAGGTACATGTTAGTTCTGAAAGTTCATTTTCTTCAGTTCTCTATCACCACTCATTATTTACTTGCATATAAACTATAACTACAGACTGAATTGTGTCCCCCCCGCAAAATACAAGTGTTAAAGGTATACTCCCCAATACAGACTGTATTTGAAGATAGGGCTTTTAGTAGGAAACTGAAGTTAAAGTCATAATAAGAGAGTGGTCCTAATCCTTCTAAAGACGGATGACCTTGGAAGAAGGGGAAAGAGGGAACTCTCCACACCATGTGAGGATGAGGAAGAAGGGGGCCCTCTACAAGTCAGGAATAAAGCTCTCACAAGAAACCAAATACGCCAGCACCTTAGACTTCCCAGACTCTGCAACCGTGAGTAAACAAGTTTCTCTTAAGCCCACCAGTCTAAGGTACTTTGTTATGGTAGCCTGAGACAACTTCCAGCCAGCGACTATTGTGCTGTTAGGTTCCTAAAATACTTCAACTTCACACACCTGGGAGACAACACAGCCCTAAAAGAAGAAAAGCTTCTCTACACCGGCTGCTAATCCAGAGCCACAGCTTGCACAGCTGCAATGCTCCAAGATCTGGAGAGACAGTCCGGCCCACAACCCCCACATTCTCACCTTGCTGGAGCCTTCTATCTCCCTCCCAGCTCCATCCTCGGAGCTCTCACACTAGGTAAGAAGAACCTGCTACTTATTAGCATTTATTTCCACCTTTATGACACCTCCTCCAACAAGCTGGTCAATTCCATTCATCCCAGTCCTCTACACTGAACCCTACTCCACTTTGATTCCCTGACGGGCAGTAGAGCGGAGCCTTTAACAGAATGGGAACTGGGCTCCGGTGGCCAAGTCTGGGATCCCAGCTTATGTTAATATCCCTAAGCCTCAGTCTCCTCATCTGTAGAAGAGAAACAGGTAACAGCACTTACTCATAGCGTTGTAGGATCACTAAATAAGGTAATTTATGAAAAGCGCCTTAGCACAGCCGGGCTAAATTGAAGCCCCCTGACGCGGGGTAGCTGTTCTCACTCCTAAGCGCCGCTCCACAGCCACTGCAGGTCCCACCTACATTGGTCTGTCCTTTCCCCTCGCATTGGTTTCTAGCCCGCCAATCACACGTTGGTCCCGCCCCTCCGGCTCCAGAACCTTTTCCCGCTCCCGACTCGGCCTGCCCCTCTGCACAACAGCTCGCCGCGTTTGCGTTTCCACCGGCGTCTACCCTCTCTCCTGTCGCTTCGCCTCGTCCTCACGCGGCACCGCGCTCACCCTCTTCGCCGGCGGGACTGCTTCACTGAAGCCGGGCGGATGAGGCGTTCGAACAGAAAGTCACGTAACTTCAAACCGCGGCGCCCCTCCGTCAACGTCGGCCCCCGGGAGGAGCGTGCTGCGTTGCCACGCCCCCGCGCCACTGCGCCTGCGCAACCCGGAACTTGGGGGGCGGGGTGGGGTGATTCGCCTTTTGTACCTCTGCGCTTGCGCAGCGGGTTCAGAACTGGGTTTTTGTTTTTTGTTTTGTTTTGTTTTGTCTTGTCTGGCGCTGGAAACCGTCGTCATGACAGAACCCTAGAGGCTGGGGTCAGGGAACTGGGCTTTCTCCCTTTGCCCTCTTGCCAGGTGCAGGATGTTTCAGTGATCCTCCTCCGATTGGCGCCAAATGTACTGAGCTCCACAGTTGCTTGACTTGATCAAGTTGACCGATATTGACCAAACACCCAAAGGACGAGATGCTGTAGCCAAGAATCAGGAAACCCGTATTCTGGTCCTGGCTCTTGTCAGGCTTTACGAGTGAACCTCAGTTATTTTACCTCTAAAATGGACGGCATCTGCCCTGCTCACCTCGTCAGGGTTGTGCAGGGTCTTGGATATCTTGAAATCGTGAAAATTAAAGCACTCTAGAAGAAGAGTTTAGATTATTGTTCCCACTAAGTCCAGGCACTACCCTGAGGGGGCAAGGAGGATAAAGCACCAGCCCTGCCATCAGGGAG